TTGGGGGGGGGGCGTGGGACGCGCTGAAAATAAAATCTAACGGCATTTTTAACCGTAATCACGGGCGTATTTTAGGCGGGAGGGGCGAAGGGGAGATCGCCCCCCCCCTTCTGAATCCGTATTTGAGGAATCGACTATATGCGAGATACGCATTTCGAATTTTTTTTGACATGGATCATTTTATGACGGAATAGAATTACGCGTGGTTGTGAACACCGCCGAATCGTGCTTTTTGTCGGATCCATTATTCAGTGAAAAATCAAATAAAACACAAGCGTACTTTCAAAACGCAGACAAGAAATCTACACGAAAATCGATTATAAGTGGATCCGGCATTAGATTCAAAAAAAAACATACAAATATTAAGGATTCTCCTGATTTAAATATTACCAAACATTTTACTTGTAAATTTTGAGTCTGAATTAAAAAAAAAAAAAATTGAGTCACCCTCCTCTCTAGGAGTAAGTTCAAATACGCCCCTGACTGCAATTACTATGGAGATTATATAGATCTGAAAAAAAAATAGGATTGCTAAAAACCCTATACGTCCTCCTAGTTGCAACGTACATTTTTTCCGGTCGTTTTCCGACGGGCTCGTCTGAGCGAACGAACGCGCGTTGTTTCCGTCGGGAGTGTTCGCGTTAGGGCCGTTTAGGTTGGATTCTTCTCGTTCGAACTAAGTCTGTTTCGATGTGATCAGATCGGTATTGATTTAGATTCGTTTATTATTATTCGCAATACGATCATGAACCGTGCATACTGATAAGTCTCGTGTATGAGAACCGGTGTTTGTGGGACGTTATCAGTAACATTTTAAACTCTCCTAGAAAATAACTTGTTGACATACTCCGGTTTTCCATCATTTAATAACAATAACTTCATTAACGGACTTTCAAGAAAATACGATTCATCGAGTTCGTCCATCTTTGCTGGGTGACAGGAACGTATTGACAATCGGAGTATCAGAAAACGCGCGCAGCGCAACCGCTTTGTTCTGGACGAGGATTTCGAACGTCCTTGCCAGAACTCTCAAACATAGTAACCGTAGCCTGAGGACATGGCCTTGTCGCGTTCGCGTTTCAATTGTTTCCGCGAATGCGCGTGTTCACGCGTCGCGAACGATTGCGATTTCGGGTACGTTCGCGCTCCAGCAAAAGCAGTCGGACATCGAGGATTTTCCGTTGTCTGCACATCGGTACACGTTGTTTTAGATCTCGATCCGATCAAGGAATGTATTCGTTTTACCACGCGGCGAGTATTTATTTTTAATTTCCCCTCAGAACAAAATTCACCTTTTTCGCAATTCTTGGTGTTTAAAGACGAAATTGTTTACCGGAAGGCGTTTTCTTTCTTTTTTCAAGCTTTAGAATATTAAATGTTGACGAAATTATATGTTTGTTTGAATTTAAATTAAGACGTTTTAAAATGATAACTGTTAGCGATTGAAATATAAGCTTGATAATATCATTATAGTATACATAATTTCACAATAATAATGTAAGCCTTAATTTTTAAATGAATCGAAACAATACAAAGGTTAAAGACTATAATAATCTTATTACTATTTACTTCAAAGCCTATAGTACTTATTGGTGATTTTTATTTTTTCGTCAGTCTGTCTGAACAATCTGATTATGAAATTGTTAAGTACCTTTACAAATATGAACTGTGTTTTGATATAGAAACTGATCGACACCGAGCTTCGCCGTACAAAGTCGTTTTTAAAACCGACGGCACATTGATTTCAAATTTAAAAAAAAAACAATCCATTTATGGTATATCCGTCACACGTTCCTCTATTTCACCTGAACCGTGTGACTTGCCCAATCCCCTGTGACTTGCTTTTTTTTCATGAATACATATTATGTATACAGATTTTGATTTTTAACCGCATGATAATTATTACAATCAGTTGAATACACACGAAACAAGATTTAATCGATCATGGTGTATGAATGAAATTGAGAAAATCTTTTTTTTCAAATTATTGAACGTAAAAGTTCACAGCACTGATCGCTAATACGTAGTTGTTTTTCATTTTCTATCGAAAAATACAGTCTCCTGTTATTATCTATTCAGACAATGAAATGTATATTTTACAAACGTTTTGATTCTATGCAAATGTTGTGATAATTTCATGGCATTGTTATGAGTATTACTAGTATGAGTAATAGTATTACTATGTCCGTGCATTATAAAGTGTACAATTGTTCGTGTTGCATACCATTTTGAAATAATATTAATATTATAAATTATTTTGTATATTAAAACCCGTTTAAGAATAATTGTAACGCTGATAACGGATCCAAAAATAAATAAATAAATAAATAAATCCGTAAATACTAATAATGATGATTATGTATTTAATTTAGGTTGATCACTTTAGTTTTGCCAATGATGATACGTTCAAACTGAAATACCTAATGAACAACACGTTTTGGGATGTTGAGAATGGACCGATATTCTTTTACACCGGTAATGAAGGACCAATTGTGGACTTGATCCACACCGCAGTGAGTGTATTATTAGTTTACGATAACGTTTGAAACGTATTGAATGTACAAATCAGCACTTCGTGATATACATTACGAAAGTAATAAGTTTGTACTCTTTGGGAACCATTTGGTTCTGTTTATTTGTTTTATTAACGCTTCTAAATGTTAGTGTTACGAAAACCTTGATACTAAAATTTAAAGTTAAAAAATATGGTACTCACACCCGAAGGTCATATAAAAAAAAGATAATATTAACTGACACTCGCATACTGTCCGGTGTTATCGCGAAGTCGTAAATGAGTTTTTATTCAAGAAAAATCAAGTAACCGCTCATTATAATTGTTAAAAAAAATGAACATCACAAACTTTACATAGGGTTTTGTGCGGGAAATATCGAAAGAATTCCGCGCAATGGTCGTGTTCGCCGAGCACCGTTACTACGGCGATTCGATGCCATACGGAAACGATTCGTTCAACGATAAAAAAAAATTGGGCTACCTGACTTCGCAGCAAGCGATTGCTGACTTCGTGGACCTGATAGACCACTTAAGGAAAGACTCTGCACTGAATCGAAAGCGACCCAATCCAGTGATCGCGTTCGGCGGTTCGTACGGGGGAATGCTGTCCGCTTGGTTGCGCATGAAGTATCCCGCCACCGTTGAAGGGTCAGTATAATATCCTGTTTTATTCGGTCTAGAACGCTTTTCTCAACGGCTGAAAAAAATATTCGTTCCACTGCATCCTATACACAACCGAATAGTCTATTTTTTGAGAGGTAATACTCTATTGGTTATTAAATGAAACTCGACAGGAAGGCGATAAAGTCACAATTCGTTGTGTACATAATTCTTTAAAAATAAAGTTTTTCAAAAAATATAAACCCCACACACTAATTTGACAATAATACCGTACAACATCGACAATGAGTTAAAGGCTACAATTATGAAAGTTAGATGTCCGACTGTTTCAATTTCATAGCGACATAAATTAAGGAAAACGAAAAAATAAAATAAATGTTAAACATTTAGATAATTAAAACAGAAATAAAGTGATTTGAAATTTGTTGTACGGATATGATGATATTTGTTCGTCATTATACATTAACTTAAATTGATACACTCATATTATATGTAGTACATATGTACATTTTAAGTACGAGTTCTACAAGTAAGCACGAACAATTAAGCGTTTTTAAATTTGTAAATAAAAAGTTTCATCAGCGTGTCGTGGTTGCAGAATTCCATAAGCTACAAACACAAATTATTCATTCTGATGCTACGAAATTGCATATATATATACAATAAGCTATCTTAAAAAATGTTTCAAATGTTCAAATTTTTTTTCAATTGTATCTTATATACAAAAATGTAACATCGTAATAGTAATATAAGTACATTGCTGTGAATTTTTATAGATTATATTATTATTTATAATACATTTCATCATTGCCATTTTTTTTCAGTAAAATTTATAAATAACAAATTCTGAATAGTTGTGATTATAAAAATTAATGCTTATCAATAATCGAGCTTCAAACTATTTAGTTTTTATTCAGATATTTCTTACTATTATTTCAAAAATTATTCTTCTGTTTTATTCATTGAGACTATCTACTAGTTTTTTTTTTTTTTAAATGATAATATTTTTTAGTGCTATAGCGTCTTCAGCTCCGATATGGCAATTCAACGGGATGACACCATGCAACAATTTCTATAAAGTGGCATCGTTGTCTTACAGAAATAAAAGTGCCGAATGCGCGGCAACTATTTCCAACTCTTGGAACGCTATCAATAATATCACAAAAACTGGTAACTATAATGTCACGTCGAATTTAGCCTATCAACTGTGTGTAATAAAAATTTAATATTTGAGGAATGATATTTTCGATTTAAACTATAAACCTATTATGAAATGTGATTTAATGTGACCAACCAATTAGATTCGAAAATGATAAAATAACTAACACCACTCGATTCATGTGTGTTTTCATTGTGGGTCCATCGAAACCCATTGAAACGTGACATAATATTACCATGACTATCATCCGTAGAATCCGGTAAATTATGGTTGACGAAGAACTGGATGCTGTGCCAACCATTGAACAACACTGACGATGTGACACAACTCAAGGATTGGGCCGCCGGGATGTATGAGTACCTGGCCATGAACGATCTGCCGTATCCTTCATCTATGATTGAGGTATCTAGTATAAGTTACACGTGGCTGCAGTGAAATAGAGATAGTTTATAGTATCGTGGTGACCAGTGACGCACAGTAGAATTTTGACAAGGGTGTCGAAAATATATATTTCGAGTTACCCATTCACAGCTACCAGTAAAATCTGAGTTTAGGCATAGTATAATTCTTATTTTTAAGTTTTTTCTTACTAATAAAGATACTAAAAATAAATTTTTTTTAAATAAACTTAATATTAATTATTTTTCAATTTTTTGTGTATTAATTTATAAGTTTGTAATAGCATAATTCTTGGCATTGAGCCCTATTATTCTCATATGACGTAAATGTTCATTTGGATAGCAGAAAAATTGGTTAGTATTAAATTAAACAAATATTCATACAAGTTCACACAGAACTAGTCATCCATCAATTATCTGAGGGGTGTCAGTCGACACCCATGACTCTCCCTATGTGCGCCACTGGTGGTGACGTGGCGAATATTTTAAAAATTATGTTGAAATCGAAATGCCTCCCCTTCCTCTTAAGCATCATGTTTAATTGCCACTACTTCGAACACCTTATTGCCGTTTAGGGATGTAATCATTTCAGTTTTTTCTAGAATAGGGCTATACCATATCACTTACCGATTTACCGACTCAAACATTTTTCCCTGACTTAGTCACATGTGGCGATTGTTCGGATGTAAATGCAATTATAAAGAGAACGTCATCCGATCAATTCATAAGCGTTGAATAATAAATATCAACGAAATTGTGAACAATTCGAAGGAAAGTGCAATTATCGAACAAATTAATAACGGTATGACGGTATAGGTTTTCAACGGTGATATACGACTCACGCGTTGTTTTACGGAGTTGTTTCAAAAACGTAGTACACGTCGCACCGTATTACCACGTGCGTATGTGTAGCAGAGCAAGTAGAGTATAAGTGTCTGTGCATGTTCGAGGTACTTCAAACTCGGTTATTGGTGACGGATTTTCACGATCGTTTATGTCAACAGCTTACGGAAGAAAAAAAAACAATGTCTGTACATTGTAAACGAGCCGAATTTTAACAGCTTACGATTAGCATTGCGCCTTTGTACAGTAATAATAATTGTTCGGCATGCGATTTGCAGAAGTTATGCGAGCAGATGACTTACCACGCGTTGGGCGACGAAAACCTTCTGATGTCCGTGTTCCGAGGGCTGAGCGTGCTCTTCAACAGCACCGGCGAGTCCGAGTGTTTAAAATACGAGACAGTGAACCCTGAGTCGACCGAACGAGGCTGGCGTTATCAGGTGAGGAGGACGCGTGATCCGTAATTCTGGTAGACCGCAGTACCGGATTAGACCATTGTGCCGCTTCAAGCACTAAACAAACTGCCGTCATTCAATATAAATATTTTTCTAGTCCAAAAAATGTTATTAAAGCGTACAATTATTGTTGTTCCCTTAAATTACTTAAAATGTTAATGACGTAAAATAAAAATATACAGCTGCTATAAAATTGCATACATACATTCATATGAAAAACTTAATTATAAAAATACGATGAAAAATATAATGATAAAAAACATGGTAGTAAAAAATGCTGGCTTAAATAGTTCATTTTTCAATTATATTCAAAATTAAATGCCTAGTACCCATTGGATTTAATAAAATAAAACATTTTATAATTAGTTGCATTTATTTTAGTTCTAGTTACATATAATAAAAATGTAACATTAATGTTATAATAAAATAAAATTAATAAATAAATAAATAATAATAATAATAATAATAATAATAAATAATTAATAAATAAATTAATAAAATAAAATTAATGTTTTATTTAACGTTGTTAAACAATTTTCTACTAATGCAATGAATTCTCTAAAAGAAGCATATGGAGAGTATTTTAATTTGGCTCTATTATATAATGAACTCTCTATTCTGTACTCATCGCAGAATTCCATAAAGCAAGTATTCATGAACTTTGGTTGTATCTTAAATCTACAGACCTATCAGATAGCTTATCGTAAATAACAAAATTAGCTTCATTGATTTTAACTATTCCAGCCACAAGTGCAGGTTATGAGGCGTTCAGACGCTGAACGATCATTTTCAGCTTTAAAATGAATTAAAACTTATCTTAGAAACTCACAATCTCAAAATAGACTTTCGACATTATTCCTTTTAACAATTGAAAAAAAAAAATGTTGACCGCTGTTCAAAACAAAAATTGACGACGTTCTTGAAGACTTCCAAAAAACCATAAGAATTGATTTATTATTTAAATAAAATTATAATTTGTACATAAATTGTTAAAAGTTATAAAATAAAGTTATAAGAAATTGTATATATTTTTTACCAATTAAATGTAGTCGACTATAAAATTACTAATAAATTTCCAATACATTAGTTTTTCTACTTATACTTTCTTAAAACCCACGTTACGCCACTAAGTGTTTACTGGGAAATACGGTACTGGGTAGAGCGATAAATCTTAGATATCATGACGGTTTACGAGACGTTTGCTGTAGACAGCAATTACTTGGGTTACACTAATTTATAAGTAAATAATCACTTCGATTTTTAAAAGGAAATATAAATGTTTTCGTTAAAAGTTGAAATTTATTTTCTCTATTCAGTTAGTTAAATGCGAAGACTGTTGTTTTAATCGAATTTTTTTTCTTGAACCGTAATTGGCTTGAATTTTCAGACATGTACAGAAATGGTGTTCCCGGATTGTGCGAACGGTGGCGAGGACGACATATTCGAACCAAACCCGTGGGATTTTGAGGAATACGCGCAAAAATGTGAAAAAAAATACGGCGTGAGACCGATCGCGGACGCTATCGAAAAGCAGTACGGCGGTAGAAATCTCAAAACCGCTTCCAACATAATATTTAGGTATTGTAAAACAGTGACCTGACGTATACGGAACATATTGAAATAAGTACACTAAAATTGGTACCGGATAGGAATTAAATTACACTAATCTGTTTAAGGACATCGTTGTACCATTGAAGATGGAAACCTTGTCTAAAACGGAGCATAGTCCAGTGTAATTGCGATACCCTCTTGGGAATCGTTTACTAGATGTATATTGAGAGATCACACATTTCGGCGCGGCGTCCTTTTACCTTTTTTAACTATGATCAATTCATTAAATCGTTACGATACTAATTATTTATAATTCATTCTGTTAAATTTATAATGATTTTAGTAATAGATATCCGATATTTATTTATCTGATCCATTATCAAAGAAATTTCGAATATTCTAGGTAATTGAGTCTAAGTAGATATTAAGATAAATCAATAACAGATTAAACTTAGTTGATCGATGTACAATCTTATTGACCAGTTGATATCTCGTTAATAAAATTTAAATTTGTGTTCTTCGTCCAATATACTATATTATTAAATCGTGGTTATGAAATGTTATCTAATGTACATATTTGACAAATTTAATAAAAATAATGTTCACTTGACTTTATCGTCAATTAATGCTCAATAACTAAAGGGAATCGCTTATAGTATTTCATTAAAATAAAACCGCAGTTTTAAAACTTTATTATTTTTTAAATGTATTAATTAATTTTTCATGAGTATCATATCACATACCTACATATTCCTAACTAGTTTCATTACTTTACAATTAATTTGTTTGGTAACAATTTAAATATGAATTATAATATTATTAAATTTTTTACCTTTTAATAAATAAATCAGTTTATAATCAAATTTTTTTTTTTTTTTTGAGTCACGATTATATTGAATTTGTAAATGATGATGCATTTTTAATTCAAAACTGGTCGTACATTATACATAGAATAATACTCCAGGCTATGCATTTATTTATTTCTTTATAAAAACTATTTATATATTCATTGATGAATATTAATCAATAATTAATTTTTGTTTTTATTTTTTATTTAATTTTTTTTTTTTATTATTTTTATCAATCGTTTGAAAATTAAATCACGTCACGCCACAATGGTCGATTTATCCTAGACCCTGAGTATATTAGATATTTTCATCGATCTAGGGTCTAGGTAAAGTCTGCACAACTATTTCGCACGAGTAATTTCATCGCGGCGTTTTTATATTTTTTCAAATGATAATTAAACATGAAATATAAATATAAAACCATTAATTCATTAAAAATAAAAATTACATCGCGATAAAGTAATATACATAATAATTAAATTATTACAAAATTAATGAATCATATATAATTAGTTAAGAATAAGTAATAAATAAAGTAGGCAATATGATAATACTAAAGAAAAATTATAGAATTTAAAAAATTATTTACATTTTTTTAGTTTTATACATTGTTTTCAGAAATCAGGACGAATAATAAAATGTTTTAAATAAATATCCTATTTAAAACGAATATTATAAATTATAATAATATGAATGGTAAATATTTTATTATTTTAATCGATTTGCTATAGTTGGTTTAGCATATGTTTTTGATATGTTTTCTCTCATTAAATGATAATAATTTGCACGAGAACTTTCGAGAAAACTAATTATTTATAGTCCCTACAAGATTCTGCAAATACAATGGAACTAATCGATTTTGTTTTTTTTCAAGCAATGGTTTGTGGGATCCATTTTCCAGTGGCGGTGTTTTAAAGAATATTTCGTCGACGGTTCAGGCGTTGTTAATGCCAAAAACGACGCATCAAGTTGACTTGTTAGCATCGCACCCAAATGATACGTTGATCGTTGTTCAAACCAGAGAAGCCCATAAACGCTGGATCAAGAAATGGATTGACGACTACCGGTTATCCGACATACCCTAAAACTTGAAATGCGCTTTGTCCTCACTAGGATGTAAATAGAAATGTGAATTATGACATAATATTGACGTTTCGCAATTCAAATGATTGCTGTATATATTTAAAGTTCCCTGGAAATAAATCTCGCTTTTTTTATTGTTATTTAAAACTGAACATTCATTGTGCACATTTTTCACGTAAGGAGTGAAAGCACTAAAAACAAATTGTGACTCATTCCTTTTTTCCATTCGTAATTTATTCATTCAGTCAATAATAAGTCTGTTACTAGTTTTCAACCATTCTGTTGACTTCAAGTCAATTATTACCGATAAGCAATTATTTTATTAAAAAAAATATGTTCTAATTCAATGGTCGGTAACCTTTATGGACCTTTGGGCTACATTCACAAATTAAAAATGGTTCTTGGGTCAATATAAAAAATTTACATGATATTCAATGACATTTGCTAGTTTTGAAATTTACTGCGGGCCGCATAAAAGAGACATTAGTTGCCGACCTCACTGTTCTAACTCAATTAAAATTAAATGTATAAACATATTTAAATCAAATCATTTTTTATGGTGTAAAATTTATCTTAGTAGGTAGGTCATTATATCAATATTATAGATAAGATATGTTATGCGTAAACTAGATTTATTTAAGGTATAACATTAAATCTGAAAATATTCAAATGTACTTGTTTGTATATTTTTTTTTTAAGTTACGAAGATACATTTTCAATTAAACAATAATTTGATTAGGTATCTACTTATTCCATTTATTATTCTACTTATTGTTCCGTTGAGGCCGTTTGAAATTATTTTGCCCGGGCCGAGTTATAGAGCTAGTCCAACTTTGGCCGCGGACACCCTTTTTGTTAGACATGTAATTTTATATTTGCTCCCCCCCCCCTTGATAAATTTCCAAGTTATGCCCACAATGATGAGTAAAATTAATTATAAAGTTAAACGCTTAGTCAACATATTTTTTTTACTAATTATTAATTTATTTACGAAATTTAATTTGATGGTTATTTATTTGTATTTACTTACAATTAGGATTACAAATAATTATATCTATTAATTGATAAAAATAAAAGAGGGCCATAAAAATTGTTTATTATGTATAACAATTGACAATACTATTATATTAAACAGTAGACATTGCATCAGCAAAATTTCGTTATAATTCCGTACACAAAAAACTAATTTTAAAAAAAGTTCATGTTGTGAAATTACATTTAGTAATGATTAAACCTTTGAAGGACGTGATAAAATATAGAATTTAAGTAAAATATCATTTTATAATATGACAAATTCCTGTGACATGATAAGTCGTAATATAATATTCATCTTATATTATAAGATCAGTTGTAAAGTTAAACATTTATTCAACATATTATTTACTTGGCAAAACTGTTTGAATAACTGGTAGAATTTTTGCGGCATTGTTATCTATAATAGAACAAAAAACTACTATTGCGTAATCTGACACACAAAACGCCTTCACTATAAAATATTATACTATCGATAAATCCCTCTTATAAAAAATATCTGACTCTATTTATATGTCACCTAATAAATTATTTTAAATAAAAAAAAACTCTTTTCAATTAAATAAGTTGCAATAAGTTCATTGGTAAGGCGGTATTCATTCGTAAATGAGATGACATATTGATGGTTAGACACCGCTGAAGCTGCACAAACACTGTTGAATTGTGACCAAGGAGAAGAAAAAATAAATTCAATTTATATTAATTTATTGCGATGTAGCCATTATGCTTAACCATAGCACCATAACTATAACACCAATAAATGGATTATTAACTGTGATACTCAACAATTTGTGTATCATAAAGTTTCGTAAAATAACAATTTCGCAATTGTATAAAAATTAAAAATAGTAATTTTTTGGGTAAGTTTGAAGTAAATTTTTTAATCCAGTCAAGGAATGAAAACACAAATCTGATATAACGTTTTTCATATGACTTCCTTAATTTAAAAAAAAAAAAAAAATTGTGAAAATTAAAGAAAAAAAAATTAATAATCACGGGTATATTTTCATTGGGAAAATATGATGGGCAATTCTGTTTACTTTATTTCTTGAATTACGTTTTAGTTCTATTTGAAAACATGTACTTATGTATTATGTATATATTTTGATGTGTTAAGTTGTTTTTATTTCCTTTCAGATTTAAATGGCCTCGAATTTATTATCACACGTACTCGTCAACAATTAATATTAGAACTTATTGTGAATTATGATAATGATTATTTGTGAACTAAACGCATTGTCGATTCCTTATATAATATGGATGTAACATTTGTACTATTATGAGAACTGTGTAGCAAGCGCGTAGCCAGGGGGGTATTACAGGTGTAGTAACACCCCCCCCCCCTGAGCCGTGGTATACTTAATATGTTTTATCAAGATAAAGATGTATCATTAGCCGTGATTTACACTTATTTATCAAAATAAAATATATATTACGATAACAATAATGCACTAAAGCCGGAACCCGGCATTAATTAGTAATTATTACGCTTAGGGACTTATAGTTCTAAAAATACACTAATATGCTTCTAGTATCATTAAAATATGCATTAAAAAAAAAAAAAAAATTACCACATAGTACACGAAATAAAACGTGTCCATCGGATTTAAATGTATCTTTAAAATCCGAAACAAAATTTTGTAGTCGGCTATTTGTAGACTGTTGTACCTTTGGTATTACACAATAATAAATATTTTCTACTGTTCACCGATTTTTAAAAATATTGATTACTTTATCAGTAATCACTGCAAGCAGTGAAATATCTTTTTTTTTCTTTACAGCGCTTAAAAACATATTTGAGGAACACAACTGGTGAAAATCGATTGAACGGCTTAACAGTTATGAATATTCATCGGAATTTAGTCATAATCACCGACGAAATAATAGATACTCTAGCTTTAAAAAGTAGACGCATTAAGTTGATTTAATTAAAAATATATATATTTTTTTTTTTATTAATTATAATAATATATATGTGAATAATTTAAATATACGTAAAGTAATCAATTTCGTGTGTATAATTTTGTCAATTAATTTTGAATAACATCCTCCCCCTTTAGAAATTTCTAGCTACGCGCCTGCTGTATACTTAATAACTTAATTATATTTTAATTAAAAAAATTATTTGTGTTATTATGAAAGGCAATACGAGTTTAATCCAACGTGTATTAGTTTTTTTTTTCAAAAGACGAACGAGTAGAATAAAACAGAAGATGTTCGCGTACTATTTTATCTGCGGACCACTTTCGCAAACGGTTTAATAAGACGATTTCGAGCGGAGATGACTGAAGATATTATTATTCAAGCAGAACGATAACGGCTGTATATATTTTATTAGGACGAACGATCGAAAATAATGGATAGACGCCACACCGCGTGCTGAGAAACATCGCATGTTTTGAAGTGTTTTTTTAATTGTTTTGTTTGCGTTTTCCATGTTCGTTAATCTTATCGGCCGTCGTTGCCAAGTGATCGAAAAACGTATCCGGGACCGTGTACGCGTTACGATTATTATGTACACTACGTGCGACGGTGTACCTACGAACTGTTTACAAGTTTACAAGTACCGTTTGTGTTCGTAGGCCAACGATGTTGTTGAAGTTTAGACTGTACGAACGTGCGACGGACCGATTTGTACTTGTTCGTCAGCGGTACTATACCGATATTCGTCCACCAGGCGTTACTATTTAATGTACTAGTTGCTACCAATATTCAACTGTGACATGACGTCTCTACTCGCAAGCACACAGATATTGATCGTTATTTTTCACGCAGTCGTCGGATACAGTTACACGACTAATTATATAACAGTGCCGGTAACTATAGTGCAGAATGAATTATGATAGCTTACCGTCAGTCGAAGTCGACGGTTGTTGTTGTGACTATATGATTACAGCTTTAGTTCGATTTTAACTAATATGTTTGCGTTGAGCTTAGCCCGAAAACGGATGCCACGTCATCCCTTCCCTTCCTCGTGCGGGTTTTTGGTTAGGTAGATTTCGGTTGGAATACGTGAACACGTTGGATCGGACATACGAGAAATCCCGTAATTAGGGTTCGAGTCGGTGGCTCTGAGGTATTGAGACGAATCCGTCCTATATCATCATTGTTACAATTTTTGTAAAGCAAAATCATTCGAATTTAATATCGCAAGTTTCGTTTTATATTCTACAACTGTTTTCGTTTATTATTGATATTTTTTTTTCGTTGGAAAATCGTATAACATATGTGAATAATCAATATATTATGGTAAAATAGTTGTAACTTTCAAAATCCAATGCATGTCAATCAACAAAATCATATTGAATTAATTTTGATTTAATCAAATGTAATATTTTATTAATTAGGTCGATCATTTTAGTTACACTAACGATGATGTATTTCAATTAAAATATCTTACCAACAATACGTTTTGGGATGCGAAGAAAGGACCAATATTTTTTTACACTGGTAACGAAGCACCGATTGAAAGCTTCTCAAAAAATACAGTGAGTGAATACGAATTTTATGACAACATTTATGTGTACATTTTATGGTTTAAAATTGTGTATTGCCACTTTAGATACCGATCAGGACACGTATTACAATTGTATTCTCTTTCAGAGTGACTATATTTTTGTATCAATATTTAGCGTATTTTTTTAATCATATTATCATTATCAGATTTAAAAAAATAAAATACTAAACAATGACAAAAAGAAATATCACTTGTAACAATAAAAATATAATGCAGCAAAAATGTAAAAATATAATTGAAAATATAATATCAGTGATTGTTTAACAATATGATAGTGATAGTGTTATTATTTACATTATTTTTTATTAAATTTAATGGTTTTCGATTTTCTTAGATATTTGTTAATGGATTAAGGGATATAATTTTTTCGTTTCAAATAATTGTTTGATTTTCAATATTTTTAATGAGAAATGCAGTGTTATTAGAAAACAAATAACGGAAGGGTCGATAGACCTTAAATATTGACAATAAGTTATTTAATTATTTTTCAATTATCATAGTAATATGAAATTTCATATTTTTCATTAATATGAGTTATCGTTTTTAAATACTTATTGATTAGATAATAGTATGGTAATGGCACACCAACATTTTCTCTATTCAATTTCTTATGATCAGCAATAGGTACAACTGGAAGTACTGACAATCGATTAACTACTTCGATATCTTTATTTTTTCAATAAATAAATTATAATATAAATTGTAAAAAAACGACTTAATAATTAATTACAACAAAAAATAATAAAACAAATATTTCGTGTTTTTAACCGTTGTTTTCATCCGCCTTCGAATAGACCACAGTCTTCTTTCTTACCAAGCCTTTAAGCTCTCACTTAATACTTCTCCTGTATGTATTCGACAATTCGATGACACTGTCTGCGACTTCAACCATATGCTTTTTCGTCGTTTTTCTCATCTCCCTAGCCGACTACTCCTTTTTTCGTTTCTATCTTCTTTTGGTCGTATCACTCCAGATTTTGATCTTCTCCTTATCTTTTGCCTAATCATTCCTATCATCCATTCCCATCATCAACTTCATTAATTCCTCAGGCTTCTAAACTTAAACCGTTGTCAGTTTTCTTCACGTGTAATTAGTGTTAATCATGTTTACCCGATCGAAATTATATTCGACAACAACAGCGACGTACGATTTTATGTGCACAGGGCTTCATGTGGGAAATATCGAAAGAATTTCGCGCAATGGTCGTGTTCGCCGAGCACCGTTACTACGGCGATTCGATGCCATACGGAAACGATTCGTTCAACGATAAAAAAAAATTGGGTTATCTGACCTCGCAGCAAGCGATCGCCGACTTCGTTGACGTGATAAACCACTTAAGGGAAGACTCTGCACTGAATCGAAGGCGACCCAATCCAGTGATCGCGTTCGGTGGTTCGTACGGAGGCATGTTGGCCGCCTGGTTGCGCATGAAGTATCCCGCTGCGGTCGAAGGGTCAGTATAATAATATTATGTACGCGCACACTGTAAACGACTAGTCGTAATAGACGTAATTTTGCGAGCCATTCGCCTCCGAACACCGTATCGCGTCTAACCGCAGAAACGTTCGTTCCTTCCGTAGACATTGTACCACCGTTAAGCAACACATCCCTACTGTGAAACATTTGTTGGTGACAAAAATCAGAAACGTTTTTGAAATTTGCTACCAACAATTGTGTTGGCTAAATTGTCTCCAACAGATTTTTATTTTCCATTCGATATGGAAAAAATTTGACAATGTTTATAAACATAGTCGCTGACAACGTGTTGACACGTCCGTACCGGTCGAATTTGGTCGATAAACATTTTTAAAAAAACACGTCGTCATATTTGGTTACTTTTTCAGTTCACCTCGTCCGTCTATATGTAGTGCATTCGTACATTTCTTTTGAACGGATATTTAATTTCGTTTCCAATCAAATAATGGAGTGGTCGAAAGAGTTTGTTATCTGATTGATTTATATCATGAAAAACAAATATTATGGGACCAAACTCAACCCGAGTACAAAAATAAATTTAAAAAAAATGATGCGTCGTGTGAAATACACATTTTGTCCAAGACTAATTTACAAGCTAAAATGTTTAGCAAATATGTTGCTTTGGTGTAGATGCGGCTGTTTCTCAATTTTGTCGGGAACATTTTAAGAAACATTTTTCCGCTGACATTGTTGACATAGACAACGTCAAATGTTTCTTGGTCTAGACGCGACTAGCCTTGGTGTAAGAACATCGTCGCTGTACGTCCAGTACAATCGTAGACCTTGTTTACGGGTCCGACGAAACCGCACTTCTATCGTTTTTCATTTTTTCACACAAAGTTTTTCACGCCATTGACGTACCAATGAGCTCACCAGAAAAAGAAACATTTCCCTGGCACCCCCACCGTTGAATTTAAAAAACGAAACCAAGAGCCTTCTTTTGTGCTGATTTATGCTGTATTTATATGTCACCTCAACATTTGAGCTTTTAAACTTTCTAAAATATAGACGTTTTTCTTAGAAAGTGCTGGGGAAATGATTTCACCCCACTTTCATATTTAATGATTTTAATGATGTCAATGATTTTTGGTGAAAGTCTCGAAATTTGTGCTTTAAAATTTTCCTAGATACAAAAGTTTTTCTTAAGGGAAACTCTGGAATAGTTATATGAACTTTCGAAATGAACAATTATCAACAAACCGTATTTTCAGTTAAATAACCCATGTTTAGATAACTAAAAAGTATTTAAATTTTTGATATTTTATTTTTTTAATATTTTTTTATATTTAATATTTAAAGCTCATTTTGGTTTAACGAAGATGTTTATTTACTGATCCCTTTCTCTAATTCTAGCGCTTAAATTCTAAATTACATTTTTAATATTATTTTAATATATATATATATATATATATTATAAAACTTTCGAATATATCTGATATTGTTAAATAATAGTCTATACAAATATACTACAGATCAATTAAAGTATTTTTAATCTTTCGTACATTTTTGCTATAATTACTACAGGGGTTGTCGATTGCATGCACTCGACGTGGCGCACTTTGTACTTCTTGTGGCGGGGTTTAGTAAGTTCCTACACGAAACATAGCAGGTAAGCCGGATACATATGTAAGTTTCCTCACTAAAAAATATACATCCATACGTTAGTTCCCACACGAAAAAAAATGACACCCATACGTAAGTTCCCACTCGAAAAAAAATTATACCAAACACAAGCTTCCTTTTAATTAAATCTAGTCCATATATTAGGTATGGTATAAAATAGATAACATAGATAGAAAAAAATCAAATTTTATTTGATCAAACACTTCACAATATAGTCATACTGTATTATTATTTTTATATTTAGTTGAGAAACAAAATCGAAGGTAAATTATCCGTCAGTTAATTTATTTGAAGCTAGACGAAAAATATACCAATATGTAGGTATTTTCCCACGTGGCGATAATATTGAATGCATTACATTCTATCTAGAATTATTTTTATTACCTATTGGCTAGATAATACGAAATAGTATGGACAGTTCATTTTATTGATTGCAGTACTCGTCCATTACTAACAGAGTTAGCATTCAAACAGTTTATATTACAATTTTTCAATTTATAAAAATGGACGTAATTATATGTTAAGTGAAAAGGGAAAAACTCTTTTAGTCCATAAAAATTATTATTATTTTATACTTATAAAAATAATATGTGGACTATACCTACACGTTATATTATTAATTTTCATTATATATTATATGGAAACAAAAAAAAAATTTTAATCACTCCAACTACATTTAAGTTGTCGGCCCTAAGTTTGAATAAAGTGGGAAGGAAGTTTGTGTTCGGTAAAATTTTTTTTCGTATGGGAACTTACGTATGCATACCCAGGAATAATTTTTACCTGCCATATCTCGTGTTAAATTCGCCCTTTGTGGCAGTAGGTCTTGCAATCTACGCATTTCGCCGTTGGACTCAACAACAACCTCTTCTCGCATTCGGAACATCTCCGAGACTATGTGTAAAATGGCTTGTTCACGAATACGTGTTCGATCGATTGTTGTTGTAGCATATCGTCGTTATCGGTTGGTCGGTGAAACAAAGTATTGTCAAATCCGTAAAAATATTTGACTCGTACAACTGCTTTGAAAGGTTAAAATATGCTCTTATTAACCGTTTATGGGAATTGTTTTAAAACAATTATTTAATAAACGCTGTTCGATAATTTTACTTAGCGACTAGATTCGTTCGGTAAACAATTAATAACGGCCGAACAATTTATAATTTATATTCTTGATTTATCGATTTATGGAAAGAAAAATCACCTGTAGAGCTAGTAAAGAGGGTCTTATGCCTAATATTGTTTTTCACTGCTAAATCTTAACTTCTCCTGAAGAGAATGATATATTTTTTATGTTTTTTTAAATGAAATAAATTTAATTTATAATAGATTTAAATCCTGCGTTCTTTTTGAGACACCATATGTATTAAGACAATTTAGAATTTAAATGATGGAATCGAAAGGATCAGCAATAAAAACATCTTCATAGAACCAAAATGAACTTCAAATATAACTAAACATAGGTTGTTTCAACTAAAAATACGGTTTGTTGATAGTTGTAAATTTCGAAAGTTCGTAAACTTTCCCAGGGTTTCCTTTAAGAAAAACTTTTTTATCTAAGAAAATTCAAATGCACAAATTTCGAAACTTTCAGCAAAAATCAGCACAAATGAGACACAAATCATTGACATCATTAAAATCATTAAATATGAAAGTGAGTGCAATTATTTCTCCAGCACCCCCTAAGAAAAACGTCGGTAACTCGGAAAGTCCAAAAAACACAGATGTTAAGGTTTACAGCATATATCAACATAAATGATGCACAAAAAAAGGCTCTTGGTTTCATTTCAAAATTCAAAACTGAAGGTGCCAGGGAGCTGCCAGAAAATATGATACAGCCATTTCGTGTTTAAGCTAATAATCTCAAACTGTTGTTGAATTTTCTTAATACGTTTAATGGACCGGCGTCAACGTGGGCTTTTTTTTCAATTTTTTTAAAAAAAAACTTGTGTTCTACGCTTTTGGTCGAATGCAATCGCGTACCTCACATCGTAGTTTGTAGTAGTGATGGGCATATCCGGATTTGTCCCTAATTTGTACAAACTAGTAACACATATCATAAGGGATTGAAAGTATTCGAATAGAAATGATTTACGAACAGTAATAGGCATTGTGTTCGGAACATACTTTTTATAATCTAACTTCATATAATGTTCCCATCTATATTATTTGATAAAAATAACTAATTTAAATCCGCTTAATATTTTTTATTATCAAAATTATTTGTTCTATATTTTCTAAATATAAATTAAATCCAACAAATAGTATATTTATTTATTTCCAATCATCGATGTCAAAAAACATAGTAACACTGTAAATGTATAATACATTTATATCAGTTACTTATTTTTGCTTAAAGCTCAACAAGCATATTACATCAATAAAATAATCAACTTTGATTTTATTTTTTGATCATTAATTTTTATCGATAATATTGTTAGAGCTATTGCTTCGTCGGCACCCATATGGCAATTCACCGGGATGACTCCGTGTAATGATTTCCATAAAGTGACATCGTCGGTTTACAGAAATACAAGTGTTGAATGTGCGGAAACTATTTCGGCTTCATGGAAAGCTATTGATAACGTCACAGAAACGGGTAACTTACATAATGTGATGAAATTAAAATCTATTATATTTTTTTATCCCTCTTCGATTAATCCTTTTTATCCCGGAAGTTATTTAAAATCTTCAAACTTCATAATTGTATATATTGAATACAGCGAATTTCGAAATAGTAGATCTTATTTATTTTTTATGATGGCTGATCGAGTGGTGTTGTTATTCTTGTATGACAACAATTAATTACAATTGTTGTGTTTTATGCAGATCATGTCGTTTTTTATCAAATCTGTCTTACGTTTCGTTGTAATTTTGAACAAAAATTCGTATAATATTTTAAATCTGCCACTACGTGGATTTTGTTTTGAACAGCAAAAACTTATAGAAATGCTTAAGATTGCATTTAAATTACATTTTCGTTGATGATCAAAAACGTGATCCATGTTCTTATAGGAGACGGAAAAACGTGGTTAACAGATAATTGGAGATTATGCAAACCGTTGAAGGACAAAGACGACGTACAACTACTTAAGAACTGGGCCTCTGAAGTGTACGTGTCACTGGCTGTAGTTAATTATCCGTACGAGGCAAACTTTTTTGCTCCTCTACCAGCGAATCCGATTAAGGTAACGGTTTAATATATTGTTGTCATACGAGAACGAATAAAACATGTTGTATTAGTGTTAAACGAACAATATATTAAATCGTCAGATAGGAGTAAGGTTGCCAAATGTCCCGCGTGAGGCGAGACGTCCCGTTTCCAGGGCTCAAATAATGCGTCCCGCGATGCGTATCTGCGGGACGCTCATTGTCCCACTTTTTGAAAGCCTGTATAAGTATTTTTATATAGAAGCCTTATATTTTACTGTGCGCATTTAAAACTATTTTCCATCCGAAATTCCAATAGAGTCGATTGCACGTATCGGTTTAATCAAAAATTGGTAGTATTTATAGATTCAATTCAGTATTCAGTACACAAGTACTTTTTCAAAAAGAAAAAATAATTGTCTTATGATAGGGTACCCTTAATTGGGAAAAGTGCTTTATTTACTAATTTGTGTTAAAAAAAAATTGTGATGATTACTTAAAAATAGCGATTATTCTGTTAATTTTATATGAATATTTTAAATTTTAAATACAACTGATAACTATTATTAAAATGATTTTCTCTTGTTTCTGTAAATTTGTAAGCATGTCCCGCTTTTTTATGTCAAGTCCCGCATATAAATATCTGGTTTCCCGCTTATCTGTAAATAAGAGTTGGCAACCCTAGATAAGAGCTGCAGTTTTACACTGAACTTGAACGATCCGAAATACCAGTGGTGTATCTATGATTTTTTTTTTTTTTTTGGTGTGGAGGCCCCAAATCGGTTACATTTATAGTTGGTCGATTCTATCAAGTTGTCGATTTTTTTGATTTTTTAGTCAACAACCTACATGGTCGTGTGATTCAAGTACTGTATTATCACATCTTTCGTTGATTTTTGCTAAAGCACTCCTAATCTTAATACGAATTATGAACCCAGTGTATATATTTCAAACACATTTTAACAATGTCTGTTTTGCGTGGGATATTTATAATTTATTAAAATAAATCAATAAGATATGCTATGATTTAGTATTTTCCGAGCAACGTATAACCACTTTTTTTTTTTTTTTTACGGTCATTATTGGCATCGCAAAATGCACATGGTTTTAGGAAGTCTGTAAACCAATGATCAACCACGCCGTAGATGACCGGGAGCTCCTGAGATCTGTGTTCCGAGGACTGAGTGTGTACTTCAATTACACCGAGTCGGCCAAATGTCTAGACACCGAATCAGCATATCCGGATGAAATAATTAAAGGTTGGAATTATCAGGTGAGTCTTTTTTGTCGACGACAATGCGGCCCCCTAAACAGCAGTTAAACGTTCGTCTGCCCAAGAAGATCCATTATCACATCGATAAAGACGAAATAACATTTACTGTAGTTGTGCGAGTAAGAATAACAATTAACGAATCGACTGATAATTTACTAGAAAAATCAAAATACAAATAGGAATGTGATTATTCAAACAAATTTCTTAACATTTTTGAGTATGATAATTTTAAATTAAAGAAAAAATTGGTTACAAAAAAAAAAGTTGCAAAATAAAACAATGATAACGCTACGAACGTTCACATGTATATGTACGTAGAGTTTAATCGATTTTTGAACTAATGCGGGAATGTGGGTTCGTAACATTTACAAGAGAAATACTCTGATAAATCGTACATTTCTAATCATTAGTGTGTGGTGCACGCATATTCGATGTAGGGATTACTGTAACAGACTTTTCGATCATAAAGTCCGGATACCCATCAAGATACATCATTACGTAAATGCACCCTTCACGCCACTGATCCTGAAAGCGTTTCTATTACAGATTCACGCAAGCCTGCAGTGCGTCGGATCGTCGTCCACGGTGCATACAATTTTTAAGGATTTCTCTTTTCGCAGGCATGCACGGAAATGATAATGCCGTTTTGCGCAAACGGTGGCGAAGACGATATTTTTGAAGCAATCCCATGGGATTTCGAGAGCTACGCGGATTACTGTGAAACACAATACGATGTCAGACCGAACGTGGACGATGTCGAAAAGCAATACGGCGGGAAAAATATCGACGCCGCGTCCAACATTATTTTCAGGTATCATATGAAAATCAATAATATTATGTAGGCAAAAACTAGAAGATGGTTTCAATGGATTTCATATTTTAATTTTAAAACATGAAATTCTTTGGAATCTTTATATTTTAATTTAAATAAAATGTTGATCATGGTAATAGCTAATAGGTAGTAGGAGTCCAGGATAAGTTAGATATAGGGAAACAATGGTCGACAATCTAAAGACTAATTCTAGTACCTGCTATAAAAAACTCGACAAATAAATGTAAATGGTTAGAGTAAAATGTGTACATATTATTATTATTATTAAATATCAGTAAGGAACGGATTTAATTGCCCTAAAAAACAAGAAAAATCCCTTTAAAAAATATAATTTAATGCAATCATAACATCATTTTTTTTAAAAAATGCACTTAATAATAAAAAGTTCTCTTAAAATTATTTTTAACATTGAAAAACATTTTTTTTTTGTTACTAAATAAATCTTTATTATTATTAATTATTTGTATAATAATTTTCTCCTATATTTATTTTACCATTTAAATTATTTACAAAAATTGAATATAAAATTTAAATAGATTAAGACGTTTAAATGTCCTTCGACAGGATATAAATCTTATTAATGATTCAGTGATACTATTTTTCGATAATTTTCAAGGATTCGACCTTTGTTCGTCATAATTGATATATTAAAATATAGCAGACTCATTTGAGTCTCTATGTATAGTTATAATGTGCCACTGTACACCCAAATTATTCAACGGAGATGTACAGATATAAATTAATTAGAGTCAAAATGTTTTAAAATACAATATATATATATTATTGTATAGGTTAGGTTAGTCATAAAGTCATCAAGTCGAAATTCCTACAATTAATCAGGAACGTAGAACGCAAATAAATAGAAAACAGTAAATAGTCATAAAGTACTCATGTAGATTTTAAAGAATCGAAAAAATAATAATTATAAGTAAATACATTTATATACTTGTGGTACTTGTAATTCATAGTTATGTGTGATAAGAACAACAAATATGAATGAATTTCTATGTTCTCTATATACATATCGGTTAATTAAATTAAATTGAAATTGACATCGGTTATGAGAAAGTATTGCACGGTTATCTATCACTAGGTAGCAATTAACTATCACTGAGGGGCACAGTGCCACGTACTTTGTATGTTAAAATATGCTCTGAAACTTGGTGAACTAAAATTTGAAACGTTACAAGACACATTTGTTATAATTTTACCTTGTGCTTCATGTGAATTCATTACATGAATAAATTCATTTTGACTACATTTTTATTTAACTTTATCCATTTGTATATAAAATTACTTAAAAACATTAAAATGCATTAAAAATACGAAAAAATGCAAAATAAACGTTACATTTTTTAATTCTTTGATGCGTGAATTAAACTTTGTGCTTAGAAAGCAATGTTTTCAGACATTCAGAAAAAAATATATTTTGCATTCAAATCCGTTCGCTATCTATCAGTAAATCAAAATGTTGAGGTATATATATATATAATTGTGCAGTTATATTTAAAAATATTTATTACCTATTCTATCTAAATAGGTACCTGGTTATTATTTTCTTATTTTGATAGCCATCATGGGTGGATCCAGAAGGGGTACTGAGGGTAAGTTCCACTCCCGTTGGAAAAATTATATTAAAAATAAAGTATATTCGGAAGAATTAAATAATAGATAAGAAAAATAAACGTTCAAAGCTTTAATGCAATATTACCAAATTATTTTTTTTTCTGGGGGGTTAAGACCCCTTCAAGATATCTGTACATACCAGTGGCGCATATAGGAGGGACCTAGTGAGCTACAGCCCCCCCCCCAAATGTTTTAAAAAACTTAAGAATTATTTTAAACATATGTTATATTTTAATGGTGCTTTATGCTTATTTAGAATTGGCGTCAAATCGTCAAATCGAAATTCACATTCAGTGAATTCATAAATAGCAATGGTAATTTAACTAAATTAACTCTGTCCATAGTAACCCTTCCCGAAAATATTTTCTATGTACGCCACTTAGGGGTATGATAGAATACTTGAAAAGTATAGAACAATTTTACTTGAACAAGGTGAAAAATACAACTCATCTAGTTAAATATACAGTTATTTTTTTAATTCAAATATGTTATAGCAGTATTTATGAAAAATTAATAGAAAATATGAATATTTATTTGAATTATTTTTTTTTTTTTACATTTTTATAGCAATTATTAATTTTTGAAGCTATATTTTAGTCTACGATTTACGTATTCATGAGTAGATATATAAAAAAAAAAGGAATAAAATATATCTAGTACTTCAATTATTGTTTTATTTAATATACAATGACAATGATAAAATGGCAGAGAAGTACAATTCATTATTATAAATAAAACCGGTAGGTTTTAAACTTATTTTTAATGTAATTACTCGATAGGTAGATCTAATTTTTAATTCTTTGTAGATATATATTGTTAGGTTACATAACATTAGTATAGTATATTAACCAATCAATGATGGCTAGTAGTCCGCAGACCATATTTTGGGAATTTCTGGTATTACGACTGCTAATTATTTCAAGTTATTTACAGTAACAATGAACTTAAGGTTCTATATGCTGGAAGAGATGATCTAGTCCTAGCTTTAAAAGAATTAGACGAATTGAAGCTTGACAATTAAATTATGAAAAAAAGAATTAGAATTTGCTGATTTTAAAAATAAGAAATAGATGAATGAATTAAAAGTACCTACTCACTTAATACCACGTTATCGAATTCCTGAATATTGATTTAAAAATAATGTAGTTTGTATATATTATGAATGAGATTTTATTCTATTAATAATTTTCAAAAATTATTTATTTTAAAAACAAATATAATCAAGTACTAGTATGTTGAATAATAGTTTAAAATACTGGCTTGAAGTAGCTTGACTGTCATAATTATTTGTTGTAGCCTGTAAGTTTTTGCTACATTCCATTAAAGTTGTCCTTAGCATTCATAGAAGCAGAAAATATTAGTTATAATCCATTGTCTACATCCTTACTTCTGTATTGTTTAATAATTGTGAATTATTATTTTGTGGTATAAATATTATTATGAACGAACAATAAATAAAAATAAAATCACAGGGTTTTGAAAGAAACAGCTAGCCTACCTATTGAACCTATAATAGGAGAACTTCGGATTATATTTTTGGAGGTTTTTTAGTTCCATACAAACTAACAGTCTTTTTTAAAGTTTTTTAGAGTCTAAAGTAGTTGATTAGGTGGAACAGAAAAAACTAATCTGAAATTAATATTCACCCGTGTATGTGTTCTAGTTATAACTTCAGTTGTAAGATTAGAGTTTAACTATAGTTCAGTTACTCATGATTTATTTAATTTGAGATAGGTATAACAGTAGTAGAGCATCTGAACCAAAATTAAACTGCAATACAATTTTAATGCATTTGATCTAGATATACTTTTATTTTTGTGTAACTTATCAAAATGTATGTATAGTTATCATGCGTTTATAATGTTTTGAACTTTTTAGGCGAAAAATAAAGAGATTTTGGAACTTCGGAAAAACGTAACTAACTTTAAACGATCAGTCGAAGATTCGAATTTGCTAATTAAATATTTAAAAATAGAGTTGAGTTATTCAAAGAAAAAGTATAATAAAGATAATATAATAAATAATAAAATAATAATATCCTACGAATTAAAATTTTATAATGAAGAAGTGCCAATTTTTTTAATGCAATAATTTTAGATGATAAAAAGTCAGTCAAACATTGATCTAAACCTGGTTACTCAAAGTTTTTGAATAAAAAGTAAGTATTGCGTTTCTCTTCAACAACAAAAGTCATCTATTGTTTTTATATATACATAAACAATCGTAAGAAAAAACAATTCTCTATCAATAAATACTAAAAAATTTTAAAAATATTAATGATTTTTATAAATATTTAATAGATTTTTATAAAAAATGTATAGATTTACTATCAAAATAAATTGTAAAAACAGTTCAATTAAACCAGTTCTTTATGATTTATTAATGTATTTTTAATTAAATTATAGATTCTAAACAATGAACGTATTATTTTTACAGTGATGTTTCCATGTATTGAATTCTTAAAGATTACTTCAATAATTATAAAATATGTATACAGTTACACATACGTATTTTGTTTACTTCATAAATTATAAATATTTACAATGTCATGTAATTTACAAATAACACAATGTTATGATATTAAGTTTTATTAATATTATTAATTACCATTAATACCTATGTTGAATATGATTTATTAAAAAAAAATTATAATTGTTTCATTTTAATGGTGATTAATTATAAAATATGACATATTTATAAATTCAATGTTTTTTTTTTTTTATCATTATAGAAAGGACGTAGAATTTAACACATCACGCATTCCGAATATTCGCGATATCGTTTTTATATGTAGAGCATAATTTTTTATTATTATTGAATAAACAATGAAACTTATTAGTACGTAATCAAAAAATAATTAAAAAAATAAATTTTTCTCGGTCGAAAAGGTAATTGTTATAATTTCAATAATTAAATGTGTTTCACAGACTTCTAAAATCGGAGATAGTTTTTTTTTTTTTTTTTTACATATACATATATTACAATATTTAAGACAATATAATATTATATGAAAATTAGTACAATTGTTTTTATGAACAACAATAATTGTCTTTTAAATAAAGGAAACTATCAATTTACTACTATTAATATAGTATTATTATTATTATTATTATTATTATTATTTACTAACTATTTATAATTATATATAATCATTTATCTACAGGTAAGTACGTGTTTCTGGGCGTATGTGATTTGCGTCAAAAACAATCCCCACAAAAAAATATTTATTTAATTTGCGCCACATCTAAAAATTAATTTTGGTAATTTGCGCCACACAAAACTAAATAAAAGGGCATTAAGTAATCTGCGTCATCGTGTACCTACAAAAAATGTAATTTGCGCCACTTTAAAATTACTAAATAGGTAATTTTTTTAAAACAGATTAAAATATTGTATTATTAACCATTCCATTGACCAATCAAGTTCATTTTAATAGAAAATTGCTTGTAGCCTTTTGCAATTCTTCCATTGTTTTTGGTAATGGTGGCACCATTTTTCTACGGGCGTTATACATATTTCGTCGAACTAATAATATATCATCGGTAGTAATGGTTTGTAAATTAGATAAATTTTCAGAAGTTTCTGTTCGTAATATCTTATTTGGTTTAGTATACAGATTTTCCATAGCTTTTCTCTTCATCCATTCGAATATATTTTTCTGCGTATACTTGAGGTTGATCATGCCCGTTATGTTCATTTACAATTTTAACTATTTGTACAATATTTTCTGAAGATGTGTAAAGTTTTGCGGTGCAAGTTCTGACAGTACAGTGCCATCGCATTGAACAATTTTTGGATTCATGAACTTTTCGATACGTAACATTTTAAATAATAATAAATCTTTGTCTCTAGTACTTTTAATAATTTCACCGATATTTGTATCCATTACTTTTATATAATTTTGAAACGTGAAATATGAACGCACACGAGATTAACATCGGACTAATTGTAAATATCAATAAACTGCTGTTCAATATTATTCGATATTATGACAGTTGATAATTTTTATTATACTAGACGTACCTATTCGATTTCGCTTCTACTTATTATTATTATTAGAACACAACAATAATACATTCGGCATGCATTGGTATCATCGTATTTCCGATGCGTTATCGGTAAATGTATCTGCTGGTAAATTCCAACAATTAAAGTTGAAAGCGTGGCGCAGATTACATGATCCATTTCGTTTTCTGTTGTGGTGAAAATTACTAAAATTAATTTTTAGAAGTGGCGCAAAATGCATATTTAATTTTTATATTTTGGCGCAAAATACCATCTCCCGTGTTCTCACTCGTAGGCTTACCTCGATCGGCTTTTCGATTACGGGCATTTACTGTTTATTATAATTTAATGTAACGAAAACAAAACGATCGTGTTACCAGCCCTCCTTCTAATAAAAAATAACGATTAAGTTTTCATTATGTTTTACTATGTTGAGTGTTGCATTTCAAGGGGAAGGTAACGATTATCGTTAGGTTTGTGTGTGTTAAGGGTTGCATTCTAAAGGGTAAATTGTGTTTTTATTAGTGTATTACGAGTCGCCTGGGAGGATTTTTTTAAGGGGAGGAGTGGTTGAATTCTCCTTTTACATCTACCTACTCTTTTGGTCGCGTTCGACTTTTTAAGAGCAATTCTCGATTTCAATATTAAATCAATAATTAAAACAGTAGCAGAATTCAATTACAACTATGTACTCGAGTTAATGGGGAAAAATACAATTGAACGACCATAAAATTATTCATTTGACAATCTCGATTGGTCCAGCGTGGAAATAATGGCCAAGTATGGTTGCCGAACCGTGGACACGACTCAAAATTTACACTTGTAATCCGTCAGATCGTGACTGCGACTGAGTGGTTAAACATAAGTTATATCTTTAATGTAGTGTTTTCGTTGTTTTAATTGGCGAGGGTAGGGGGAGGAGCGCCAGTGAATATTTGCTCCCGGTCGATTTCTGTCCGAATGCGGCGCCGCTGACCGAACTCGGAGATAGACCTTCGAATTGAAATGATATCGACCGTTTTCTGTTTTCGTTTAGCAACGGTTTGTTGGACCCGTGGTCAAGTGGCGGCGTGCTGAAGAGCGTGTCGTTCACCGTCCGCGCGTTGCTGATACCGGACGCGGCGCATCACTTGGACTTGCGGGCGTCGCACCGCAACGACACGGAGTCCGTGGTTCGAGCCCGGAAGACCATCAAACGATGGATAAAGATGTGGATACACGGTTACTGGCTCCGCAAGTAGACGGCACTCGTTGTTCGTCATCGTGAATGTTTAGCGTATCCGATGCACTCGGTAGATTCGCGCTGTGCTGCACGTGCCGTTATGAAAATTATTGTTTGCCGGCGTACAAGTTGGTTCACAGGTCCAATGCGATTTATTAAAAAAAAAAAAAAAAATAATAATATGTAATATACACGTAATCACAGTATGGACGACTACGATTTGATGTGTTCATAACGAATTAGCATAATATGTATATATATATATATATATATTCAAAGTGGCTTTAGTCGTTAATGGGCAGAGAATGACAGGGGGGTAGCTCAAGTGCCTATTCTATTTAATAGTTATATAATTATTATAAAGTGCATTTGGACATTAATCATTAGTTACGCTTATGGTCGTTAAAATTTTTCAAATTTTAGCATATCATACAAATTGTGTTCAATACTTCAGTAAAATTGGAAAAATATAATTATTTTATAATAGATAATAATTAAGGTTTAAGGTTAGCACAACTGAAATCCGGGAAAGTTATTTATTAAAAAAAAAAAAAAAAAAAAAAATAAAATAAAATATAATAAATATAACAGTATCACTTTAATTTTAACTGTAATACCAAATAGGAAGAGTCTAAATATTTTGGCATCATTTACACAGACTATAAATTATAAATAATTAATACACATAAATAGTTGATCAATGTCTAAAGACATCACCATAAAATTTCTTATTCACTACAAAAAAAATGATAAAAATAATAATAATTAAATTTATACAATAAAATAATACAAGTCTAACCGCACATTATTATTATTATGGAACAATAATAATTTTTAGTAGCCAGTTACATATAATGGCAGGAAAAAAAAAATAATTTGGAAGTTATTATTAATCACAAATCAAACTCATCACACCATGGATGGTCGAGAACATCTTCTGCCGAAAATCTCAAACTGGGATTAGATTGTAACATTGAGCAAACTAAGTCTTTAGCTTCTTCAGACACATTATCCCAATATGGTTCAGGAAAGCCATATGTTCCGCTGAGTATGTCATCAAATAGTTCTTCTTGACTATTGTTTTCACTGACAAATGGTGGAAAACCACATAGAAGTATGTATAGTATGACACCAGCTGCCCAAATATCGATTTTTACACCATATCCTTCCTGGGTAAGAATTTCTGGAGCAACATAAGTGGGAGTACCACACACCATGTACAGAGGTTCGTTTACTTTTTGTGACAGACCAAAGTCGGCCAGTTTTAAGTGGAGTACATGGCCAGTGTCATCAAATTCGACTAGGAGATTTTCTGGTTTTACATCTCTATGTACAATGTCCAATCCATGGAGGTATGCTAAGGCCGAAGCTAAATTTCTTGTCATTAATCGAATATCATGCTCAGAAAAGTCAGTACACCTGGCAATGGCTTCAAACAGGTCACCCCCACTCACTAATTCTGTGATCAGGTATACATCAGTAGGTGTCACTAAATCAGATATTAAATTGATGATGTTTGGATGGTTGATGGTTTTTAGTATTGAGAGTTCATTTTCAATCATTTGACTCATTTGAGGGGCTTCTATTTTTTTAATAACTTTTAATGCATACTCTGAATTATTTCGTTTATCAAAACATCGATAAACTACAGCAAAGTTACCATCACCAAGACGATCACCAATTGTATACCTATAAATTGAAAAAATATCAATATTAATATGAAATATTTATACTAAGTTAACATTTTACAAATAGTAAGATTCCATTTACAATTTCTGACCGATACTCAAGATTATTAATTATTAATATTTAATACAGGTAAATTATTTATGTGCACATAAATAGTACACAGAAAAAACCATATTTTTTTTTAGATAATTTAAAATTGTGCAAGTAGTATAATGATGAAATAAAAAGACATTGGTGCATGATGAAAATCATCGAAGAAAAATGGGAAACAGGAAAACCTAGAAATCCCTATGGTAGTGAGCAAAAAGAATGATATGAAATTTTGATACATACAGTCAATGAAATACATAGCACTTGATTTTTGTTAAATAATTAAAATGTAGTAAAATAATTTTGCAGCAGATCAATATTTAGATTAAAATAAAATAAAAATCTAAAATGCATTAACTTAAATATAATATACAATTTATATATAATTGATTTACCTGTTTAGGACTTTATTAGGTATAGAACCAGATATGCTACGGTTGGCTTTTGTGGTTTTTGGTAACCGAGGTACTCGCTTTCCACTTTTGTCCATACAATGAGTACCATTTTTTAGTTCATTGGCTGGCCTTCTCAAACCACGTTTGTGAGCTTGTACTATTTTCATTTCTTCAAAATCTAATTTCATATCTTCTTGAGACACTCGTTCAGACCCATACACAAAAAACAAATCATCTAGTCCAAAAAATTGTTCAAGATGCATTATTTGACACCCAGATGATACATATACTTTACGGACGGCACCAGTATCTAATTTTATAGATTCTGTTATAAGTGTAAGCACATGTTCAAATGAAGGAGAATTGCGTTTATTTAATAACATTCTAATAATTTTTCTAGGCCTGGTACCACTTCTTACAACAAATATAATCTTAGGCCTAATGTTAAGGTGGGGTTGTTTACTTGGACTGCTCAAAACTGCATGGGTGGATGATTGTAGTTTTGTTAAAGATCGAGAGGGTTTAACATTGTTCAAAGCAGCATAATCTAGTTTTTTTATGGCATTATTACCACCAGAACAAATATAAAATTTTCCATCTTCGAGATCTTCTAATTGAGATATTTTATGTCCATCAGTCGAAAATAATGTCCTTACACCACTTGGTAAATGTTTGTTCTCAGACAGTGTGTTTGATAATTCAGCTAATAAGCTGTCGAATGAACGATATCGTTCATGAGTTATTGCCACTACAACACCTAAGAAATAAAAATTAACTGATATTATAAAAATAATCAAATAAACAAAAATTAAAGAGTAATGTATCAAATAATTATAATTGGAAAGCATAGTTTAAAAAAATCAGGCATTTAATTTTTAAATTTCACTCAAACTAAAAAAAATAAAAAGTAAAGTAAAATAAAACATTATTTATAATATCTTTTAATCAACTGACCCATCATCATATTTATTAAAATTTAATAATTACCTTTACAAAATCGATCTCCATTAACAAGGAAACGTACACGTTTAGCTTTACGTGCTGCTTTGCCAACATCAGATTTTTGTCTGGGTGTACATTCCTCACTGGAAATTGCTCTTGATGTTCTATGGGCTACAGCTTGCATTTTTGAAGAGCTTTTATTTTTTACACATGCTTCTTCAACCATTATAATGAATTAAATTTGATTATATTAATGTTCTCAACTGTAAAATAAAATGCATATGTTAATAAAAATGTCTACATGTGAGGAAAAAATAGAGTTCAACATAATACAATATAAATGTTAAGTATATTAAACAGTAAGCTCACAGTAATTTTTTATTGTTAATATTGAATAGATGTAAATGATTGCTAAGTTACAAATTACTAATCAGTATGTACTTTTAAATGTTAAAACTAAATTAAAATAACATTAAATCACCAACTAACATAAATTGACTATCAGTACAACTATAATATTTTTTTATATACTCATATTTTTTTTATTTTTTGTCTTTTTACCAATAATAGTAACAATTTAAAATATTCATAATGTTAAACTAAAGTAAGAAGAAAATTGCTGCTATTGCTGCACAGTTAAGATAATATTATAAACATGAATAAAAATTTAAAAAAAGAATCACCGTATAGATATTGTTGCATATCTATATATATATACACACACAAATGATCAACAGTAGTTCTTAATCAACACACATTTTTTATTGTATTTATTTTGAAGAATTATAACACGGACATAAAAAAAAAGAAAAAAAAGTTAAAATCTAAATAATAATTAATTATTTACACTGTTAGATTAGAAAATACTAACATTTTAATTTAATATGGAAAAAGAAAAATGTACTGGGATATTACAGAAATGAAAGAACACAATGATATTCAAATAAATTGTACAAATAAAAATAAAAACCACGAGTTTCAAAAACAATTAAATCGATACATTTTTATTTTAAGTTGATGTACAATAAACTATAATTATTAAAAAAAATATTGTAGGTAACGATTAATAATTACCATACAGAAAAACTTTCAAGTCATTTAAATAAAAAAAACTTATAGAATATTACAGAATAGAAAATAATTATCAAAAATGAAATAGGTAAAAGTAATTATTTAAATAATTATGTAATAAATACAAAGAAAAGTTTTATGAGTTCTGCTTTGTAGCTGTATAATAGAAATTTAATTACCAAATTAAATTAGTAATGCACAATAAAGTTATTATAAGATATAAATTATTTAAAATCACAACAAATTAAATTTTGAATTTTTACCTAGCAGAAGTATAATTCATTTTTACATATTGAAAAATAATTGAAATTAAGATTTAAAAATAGGACATAATGCACATTGTAATATATAATTTTGAATATTATCTAAAGATGTGACCTATCATTTTGAAAAGAAATAGTGTAATAGAGTTAACCTACTCTTTATATGAATCAAAGTACATTTTGTAAAAGGAAATTGTCTGTAGGTTTAACAAATCATGGCCTCGTTATGTGGTTTTATTTGTATGTAAATTATGTTAGTTGTTTATTTTTTTAGAGATAAAATATACGAACATGATTTGAAACATGAATACTGTTAAATTATGTACTAATGATAATTTAAAATATACAGATACATAATTTGTAATTAAAATTAATTATTTAGAAGAAATTGAATTTAACGCTGTTGCATTTTGAAGACAATAATTATAAAGACCAAACCAAAAGACAAGAGTTACAAATGATAATGATTAATATTTGAAATGTTTTATACTACAATAGGTTATTATGATTTATTAACATTTCACAATAAACAGGTAAATAGTATTTATAAAGATATAAAATTCTGAACTATATAATCTATGAATGGGTTAAACTATAAACATTTGACTAGGTTATAAAATGCACAGTTCAAAGGGTAATGGTGCATGATTATAGAAATACAATCAAATAATGCATCAATACGTAAGAAGGTTGAAAATAATTATTTACAAGATGTGTTTTAATAACATTTTAGTCATCAACATAAGACAAACATTGCTTTTTTTGTTCATGCCTTCATGAATATCAAAATATTAATGTAGGTAATAATCAAATAAATTATTACAGATGATAATGATTGTTTAACGAATAAATTATAATTTAAGTTACTTAATTATTAATTGAATTAAATCAACCATATATACAATTATAAATGATATACCTATACATTAAAAAAAAAAATAAAAATAAAATTACATACCAACATATATTAAAAGTATATGAATAATAAAAAAGCAATTGATAAAATTGTGTGGAAAAATGTTACACTAGTTTTAGTTCAAAGATACCATTGAACATATTAATTATAATAGTACCAGAAGTATTTGAGCCGAAGCAACATTACTTTTAACAATTATAATATAGTATAGATTGCAATAAATCAATTGAATACATGACGTTAAACTTAACATCAATTACGGTTTCAACAGGTGTAAAAAATTCATATAAAGTGGTTCAATTGGAAGAGAAATCTAATTTTAGACTCATCCTATAACAGTGTAAATGAATTTACTTTGATTTTTTTTTTTTTTATGGAGCGGTTAGTTTGGAAGAAAATCAAATGTGATCATTAGCGAACTTCGGCGGGCAGTAGCTAATGCCATGATCATAAAGTGCGTATAATACTCGGACGGCTACGAGTTGCGGCAAATTTTTCGGTCAACTGCAGCGGACGGGAGGGCCACACGAGGGGTCGACGAGCGCGTAGCGAACGATCGGAACGACTAAAATCGGTTCGACTTTGAATCGTCCGCGAACGATCACCGACCGACGGAAACGTACTACCGTCTGCGTCCGTTCGAGCGGTGCACGCACCGGGAAAACCGCGGTCCAAACTCACTTGATATCATCGTGCTCCGGAGTACGCTGTCGTGTTGGTTGGAGCGCACTGGCCGCGGCGCACGGTCGGAGACATTCGCGGGCCAAATACGGAGCGTGAAGAGACGGCGACCACCGAACTGACTGGGTGAAAAATTGACGAGGAAGAAGAATGGGGAAAAAAAAAAAAGATGAAGAGAGAGACTTTCCGAGGACGGAATCGCGTCGGAGAAATGGTACGATGGAATATTTATCTCGCGCGAGAGAGTGGAACGGAACACGCGATAACGGCGAGATAAGAGCACGGGCGAATGTGGTGCTGCCAACCGCGCGGGCGGCCGTTGCGTTCCGACGGCGCGGTCAACGTTTTGTTCACCGCCGACGATAACACCGCGCCGTGATAACCACCGCTGGACCGTCGTCGTGTTTTCGACAGTCACCCGTTCGCGTTGCCGTCGATCGTGTCCGTCCGTTGCCGAGACGGTTGATGCCGATTCCTCGTCGATCACGACTCCGACCGAAACTCCTCGATCAGTAGTTCCGTTCTTCGATCACAGCGGAGACGTCACCATGGACGTGAACACCGACGAGTTGTTCTTCTGCAGGTTCTGCCTTCGGCAGTCGGAGTCCTCGTTCCCCATCTTCATGGAGGCCGACCCGGACCTGGCCGTCGACGTGATGAGCTGTCTGCAAATCAAGGTACCGCTTTCCTCGTCCGTCGACGTATACGGTTTTTGTTCTACCACTTGCTGTTTTCTAGATCTCCCAAGACAGTGTCGGTCCGAAACACATTTGCACCGAATGCTACAACCGCGTCCAGGATTGGCTGATGTTCAAGAAACAGAGCGAGGATGCTCTTAAGGAAATTGAATCCAATGATGAGTTTACCGAAAGAGAGGTAGGATTGTCAAGTCCGGTTTCGACTATGCATGATTTGAGTTTGCTCTATTGTTTATCTTGATATTAATGTTCAGCAAGTCACAGCTGTCTCTCAAATGGACCTCATCGATGAAGTGGACTACCATTGCTGTATATTCTGTGACAAACTTTACCCCAGCGAATACGAACTTTTGATGCACGTCAGTGAGAACCACCAAGACATCGTGGACTTAAATTCCAAACCCAAGAACAGAGATGAAACCTTGGATTACATTCAATCTTCATTCGTCGATGATGAAGATAATATCCATTGTGATGATTATTTGAACTCGATCAACAATACATCCCCAACTCAAAAGGTATATAAATTATATGATACAATTAACTTAAAATCCTATACTAGTATTTACTGTTGTTTTTATTACATGAAATTAGAATTGATAATTATGTATTTCACATCCACTTAATGAAGTGGGCCTCCGTTAAATCGATTATCTTGTCCTTATAATAAAATAATTATATTTTAATAAATTTATAAATTAAATTCTTATTTAATAAATAACAATTTTTCTATTTGTATTAAATTACCAATACAAATAATAGTATAAAAATGATTATAATTAATTTAAAATTAATAATTTTATAATGAAAATGAAGGTAAGGTTATTACAAACATCGACAAATGTTTTCTATATAATAAATAGGTTCATTACAAAACTCTATTATTTTTATTTATTTAATTATGGTTGTTAGTTATAGCGATGGTTATAACAACTTTTTTCACATAAAACTAATGTATATTTATAAAAAATATACCTAGTCTTTATTTGTATTATGATTTTAATTGTGTTTCTGTTGATAATTTAATAAAAATATTACTATTAAGTAACTAAGTATAAAACCATAATGATTTCATACTGATAACAAAATATTCATACATTTCATTTGGAGATCGATAAACTGTTCATATAATGTAGTAAAACATAATTTTCATAATAAATAAACAAGTATATATGTCCTAATAAAATTATTCACCTGTAAAAAAGAATGTGAATGGTTGATTACAGTTTTTAACTCATGATTAATGTTAATAATTTTATTTAGTTCAACCTATGTGTAAAACCTAAGTTTTTGTGCTTAAATATTTAGTAAATTATTAAAAGTTTTAGTTAAATAAGTACATTACTAAATTAAATGAACATGGAAAACCAGCATCTACTTATTAATTATAAGTAATTTATTCTGTTTTTCAATTTCCTGTGAGTTATCCATTTGAGTTATTTATTTATTTATTATTATTTGCTTCTGATACATCTTCAATGCAAATATATATTATATTACCTAAGCTTATTGTATTTACTCTGTATAGATAGTATAACTGAAATCAAAAAAATTAAAAGTAATGATTGTTACTTTTAAGATTCCATTTGAACAATATTTATGTATTTTTTCAGATCAATTTTGATGAATTTAATGAAATGCAGACCTCTGATGATGGAGATGAAAAATTTCAATGTTACTACTGTAGTGCTACATTTGACGAATTTGTGCATTTGAAAGAACATTCAGTGTCCAGACACCGTGATCTAAACAAAAAAACTGAATGTAATAAATGCAATAAAATATTTCTGACAGTCTCTGATCTTCAAGAGCACGTTAGACTGACCCATCCACCCAAAAAAGATAAACAAGAATTATCTGAGACTTCAATGATCAGATCATCCAAGAGGTCACCGTATGTCTGTAATTTGTGTAATAAAAATTTCTCAAGGTTCTGTGACTTGTTGGATCATGATGAGATACAACATGATGATTTACCAAAGAGGTATAGGTGTGGCGTATGCAGCAAAATGTTTTTGATGGAAGATAGGGCTAAGGTTCATTACAATTTCTATCATACCAAAACGAAAGGTACAATGAATTTTCAGTGCAGTTTCTGTGGTATGGAATTGAAAAGTGCTTCAGCTGTAGCTAACCATGAACGAATGCACATCACTCAAAAAACTACTCAATTTGGATACAAAATTATTAGAGACTGAAAAATACTGGCATCTTTGTTTATTTGTTATATTTAAATTATAATATTGATTAATGTAATATGTTTAATTCTAAATTCTGTTTATGCTTAACTTGAGTGTACATTTTGTATAAATTACAACAAAATTAATGTTATAATCTTAATGGATACTTTCTGCCTATTCGCAATAAACGTTAATTCTATTGTGTGAATGTTTATTATTTATATTACTTTATCAGTGATAATCTTGTTGACTGCAATCTAATTTTCATTGATAACATTTTTAGCATTTTCGTTTTATTCCAGTCATTTGTTGGAACATGATTAAAAACTTTTTTTCTGTATTATTATTGTATCATAGATATTAGTTGAATATATATGTATGTATAAAAAAAAAAATGAATAAACTTAAACATTTTTTATACATTAAATTATATATTGTAATTAAATTCGAGTTCAGTGTGTTTATTATTAAACTGTGAATTTTTTTGTCACACTAGCACAGTCAATTATTGGTGACAATGTATTTTATTGTATATTTGATGTTTTTTGTTACTATTTGTATTATGTTTGCAAAATCAAATACACTACCACAGATTATATTAAATGTAATCTGAGGTATAACTATCTTACTCAAATGCTCCCTATGTATATAATGTTTGTTATTAATTGCTGTTACTATTGTATTTATGTTGGTACATTTTTGTTCGAATACCTCGTGTCATATATTATATATTTGTTTTTTGTTTTTTCTTTTTCTAATTTTCACTCTTTCACATAAATTGCAATCAGTGTTGAACATATCCGGATTATTCAATTGGATTTTTGCTGTTCAATGACTTATTTTTATACTCACATAAATATAATTAAATATATGTGGTTGAGATAAATTAATTGGGTACTCAGTCATGATACCATTGCAAGTCATAGAGGTACACAATTAACTCAACAATGTAATAACTTGTTTTGGTGACTAATAATAAATTATGAAAATTGTCATGATAAGTTTACTGTAATTCGTAGAATATATTATTAATTTGTAGTTACAGTAAGTTTTCTTATTCGTGCACGCGAGTATGCACATGATTAGCAGCTTGAAGTTTTACTTTTTTTAGTTCATTTGTTGTTATTGTTTTTACAAATATTTATTTATTTTGTTAACATGAACGAGAAACCGTTGTAATCTGCGTGTACCGCGCGCAAGAGCGGAACTAGGAATTTTTACGCCAAAGAATCAAATATAACTCTTCCCTACAATTATTTTCCAATAATAGACATACAATCATACTCATTGAGTTTTAGACAAATTATCACTAAAAAAGTTAAAAATATCACACTGGTAATCAATTATAGATTATTATATATTACAAAAATCACGTCTGGACATGAATCTCCATGTTCCTCCCCCTAGTTCCGCCTCAGATCGCGCGTGCAGTGATTATATGATCCGTACGGAAGCAAATAAAAACTGATGACATTGTACGTTTTAAGATTATTCTATATTTTTACGTGTATTTTACAAAACAAGAGAGACAATTCGAGAACGGCTTACAACCCAATATTATCGAATTATCATTGTGTATGGGACAACCGTTAATGACACTTATCTTAATTTTTCAAAATGTTGTTATTCGTTCGATTATGATCCAGAAAACAAAAATGTATAAACGATAGCGGTTATATCTAGTTCTATTAAATCATTTCAACCATATTTCAAGAATAAGATAAGAATAACATAATTTTAATTTAATTCATGAAAATAATTACCATAATTGTATGTGTTAGCGTGGTTGCTTTGAGCCCAGGGGCGGATTTAGGACCAACAGTTAATATTTGTTGACAAAATTGGCTCTTGAAGACTTTTTATATTTTTTAAGTGTGCCGGCTATAAGTTAAAACTAAACTGGAAAATATCCCAGTTTCCACCTATCGCCACAAATTATGCCACTGGTTTAATTGTACAGTAAAATAAAACATCTCTATATCAGACTCCATGTAAGATTCCATAAAATAAGATAAATATTTACAATGATAATTATGAATAAACTTAAAAACAAATATTATATGATCATACTTTCTAAAGTTTTGACCCCAAAGGGGTAATGAGTACAGTTTTTATATTTACAAAATATTTTGAATAGATATTATAATAATACACGTTTAAAGAAAAAAAAAAAAGCGACAAGTATAATATAATATAATATATATAAAATAAATAAATATTTATTACATAATTTTTTAATTTAAAATGTGAATCAAAAAAATATTGTTTTTTGTTACAAAGACTTTATATAATTGACTTTCAGGCTCTAATAAGTGGTCTCTTGAAATAGCCTGACCCGCAGTTCTCTAACTGTGGATCCGCCATCGGTCGGACCCTTATTTTAAGAATTAACCTCGGGGTTCGATGCGTTTGATAACCGTTGGTTAACGAATGTGAAGTACTTTTTTATCAATTTATCGTGACTACACTACAAACATGCTGTACTTGTTTCGATTGTTATCAATTACAAATTGCTGAATCTGAAATTTGAAAAAACAAAATAAATCGTTTTTTGACAGAAGTACCTTGCCAAAAGTTACAGCCTGGTCCCGGATGTCGGCGCTCCACGTGGTGTACACTTGCGACGGTTCATATCTTACACTCAGTGTCGGCCCTAGAGGGGGGGGACAAGCGATGCGATTGCACCAGGCCCCGCAAATTATTTATTACAAATATCACTCTTTATCTATAAATAAAAATAATATAGTCCCAGTGCGCGAATCGCAATCCCGTGCGGTCGTACGGTTTTCTCAGGATACGGGTTGTCGTCGACGGAGATTAAAACGGTACCATTTACGCGTAGCTTTGAATTATTGTACGCGCATGCACTTTTGAAATCGTTGATCGTCGACGACGGTTCGAATTATAGTTATAGTACATATTTAGTTGTATAATAACACGAACAAACATAGATTTCGATAAACAATCGATAAATGTACACATGGGGCCATTCAGCACCGGGCCGGGGGAAAACCGTCGGGCCGGCACCGCTTACACTGGTACCACCAGCCGTTATGTTTGCAAGTAGTCAACACCGCAAACGTCGGCGGCGGCTGCTTGAGCTCATCGCGACCGTTCGCTGTTTGCGTACCGAAATTGCGCGTAAAAGGATTCGGAAACGGACAAACGTTACACGCGTTCACAGCACGTCTGATATTTGTATTTATTTTGTTATTTTCGACCACGTCGCACGCAATGCTGAAAAATCCGAAAACTATTGAAATGTTGTCATCATAAATCGCGCGAAATCGACCGAACTCGTGCACCGCAGGTGACATTTTTACGCGTTAGGATAACGTTTAATATCGTTCACGCGTGTTTCTTCGCGTGGTCCGCGTCAGAATGGTTACGGTTTGGAACTCCGCGGCGGGGGGGGGGGCGTCCGGTGTCGCGAAATCCCTCATTCGATCGACGACGAACCGCGGGAACGCCGTGCAGGTACTGAACGATATCGTTTGCAATAAACGCACTAAAAGTCGCGATAAATCCAATCGTTGCACGTCGGATTAGAGCTACAAATATTTATTATTAATAAAAAAAAAAATTAAAAAAAATATTGCAAATAATACACCGAAATGCAAAAGGTGTTGTGTGTGGTACCGTTTTTCTGAAAACGTTCGTACAAGCTGAACCGTCGGCGTACTTGAACAATGAATACAGTATTCTAAATATGTTACAATATTGACGAAATTAAATTGATTTTTTCGTATCGATAATAATTCGATTACTCGACCCAGCTTCGGCGACCGTTAATATCGAGAAATCGTTTTATGTCACTGTTGCATTACGGACAATAAAATGCATTTCGTAAGAACGTTGACAAGAACAATTAACTCGGAAGCGAAAAATATCAAAAAAAAAAAAAAAAGCAACATAAATCCTTGACCATTCTACGTGGTATAAATCGAATGTACAGTTACAAAGTTTCGGTCTGGACCAAAGACAAAAGAAAAAAAGCAAGTAGGCAATAGAAAAAAATCAATGGACAGTAGTCTATTCGAACTCTAATCATCACTGAACAAGACGTTAGCTCACAAATCCAACCGCTGCAGTTACTCGTATTACATTTTACGACGTGATACGACATGATAAACTTTAAGATTCTATGTTCATTACAGCTTTTTTCGGACCTCGATCAAAAAAAAAAAAAAATTACCATGTTACATAAAATTTACCCTACGATATAATGATATTCATATTTTATTCATTATTATGGAAATGATTTGTAAAATTAAACTAACCGATAAAAATATGATAATACATCGAGGGTCTAATTGCGTCGTTACTCCGAAATCCGGATTTGGACCGTGGTCCGTTAGTTGTCGACCGTTGACGTGAACTATATATGATTTTACCTTCTGTCATTGGCGCAAATAAGAAGGGCTTGGCGGGGGTTGGACATTCCGAATTACTGCCCCCCCCCCCCCGAGTTAAGTATAAAATCACTTATGAGGAATTATGAAAAAAACCAACGTTTTTTTACGAAATAATTAATAGGAAATAATATTAATAATAAATGAGCACCCCAAAAAAAATGTGGGTTATTATGTTTACGCCTTCCGTACATCGAAACGAAGCGTGGATAATTTCTTTAGTGTGCTACTCGTGCAGCAACACAACCGTGTGTTTGGACATAGTTTATTTTGTTTTTTCGCATTTATTTTCGAATACTGATGGTATCGAAATGTCGTATACTGTGAAATTTTTCGAAAAAAGGATAGGTACGAAGAAAAGAAGAGCCTCGAAGAAAAAACGTACTCGGTGTTTTTTGAAAAAAAATATTATTATTGTTTTCTTGCTAAACATATTTTTGGTTACAAAAAAAAAGTCTAATTAGTCTTACGTACACGTTATTTAAAATAATATTATTACTGTTAAATACAATGATCTTATATTACTAAAAAAAAAAAAAATTACAACAATGACTTGTCTTAAAAGTTATAAAATATTTTTAACAAGTATTTTTAAACAAATTGTATTTACAGTATAGAAAAATCCGTAGCTTCTAAAAAAAAAAAAATGAACGTGTAATTAATAATATATAATATCGTATACACCGTACATATATGTGTAATATATTAACAAAATGTATACAATACGATATACATATATGTGTAAGTATTGTATTATGCATGTTACGAATTTATAAATATGTATACTCATTAACTCTGTTCAATGGATGGAATTTCGAAGAAAATACATAGTAATGGTACAATTGAAATTATAAACAGGTAAAAGTTATGTAATTAAAAATGTCTGTACATAATAAAATATTTTTCTTTATTTCTAATTTTATAAAAAACAAAAAAAAAAATGGGGAAAGTTAAAGTTAAATTAAATTTTTATTCTTATTCTTATTATTCTTATTTTTTTTTTTTAATTTTAATTTTATATATGTACATAATCGTATTATTTAGTAAATTTAGCGACGGGAGTGCCTAAGCGTTAAACTGTTTTCTCTGTCTAGACGCTACGCTATGTAGCTATATGTATATATAAAAAGTAATTAAAAATGTGTTCGGTTTTCGTATTGTTTTTGTTTTTTTTTTTAATTTTATTTAAAAATATACTGATATCGCTTAAGGCTCTAGTCGTACACCAGCAACAATAATAATTTATACAGATCAATATTATAATTATAATTTAAGTACAATATACTTAGTTAAGTGAATAGAGATACTTTTAACAAACTAATAATATTTCTAAAAATACAAAGTTGATTGTATTACGCTAAAAGAGTGGGGACGATGATAATAATGTATAGTGATAACTAATAACTGAGTTTTATTGTCAAAATAAATACATAATAATTAATAATCATAATAATAATTTTGTAATAATAATAATAATAATAATAATAATAATGATAATAATAATAATACAGTAAGATAACCAAATTATCAGATGATATACAGGGTTCTACACACTTAACTAGTGTTATATTTTTTTTTATTCATTTTTATTTTTTTGTTTTTTCTTTAACGTCACGACCGTGTATTGCTATAACAAAGCACCATAACTGCTATATGTATAATATTGAAGAGCCACGCAGGAAAAATTAAAAAAAAAAAAAAGAGTAAAAAAAAAGTAAAAAAAATATTGATTAAATAAAATAAAACGGACAAGTATTTGATACGAAAAGCTCACTCTATTATAATATAACGCCTAATTATATAGGTATTTAGTATAACATATTATTTCCATATATTTATTAAAAAAAATTCTAACAGCTACGTTATCACAGAAGATTGTAGATAAAATATGTATATATCGTTGAATGAAAAAAGTTCGTATGCATCGCGTCGTCTGTCCGTCCGGTTTAAAGGTGGTTTAAAACTTACTGGCAGTCCGTGTCTGTCTTACAGTTATTACATTCTAAGTATTAAACAGTACACATGCGCGTACTAACGTACGTTTCGCACACGCACACATATGTACACGTATAGTATATATGAGATGTACGAATCTGTGTCGGGAAAAATAATATCTTAGGTGACTATCCTCGAGGACGACGACGACGATGACGGTTTTTTCCTTATATTGTTATCGTTTTTATTTTTTATTTATTTGTTAATACACATATATATACGCGGCGTACGTACACATATACATATACACATATATACATATATACGTATATATATTATAATTTTCCTTTTCGCTTTTCTCCGGCTGCAGCGGTTGAACGACGACCACGGTGGTGGTAGTTGTGTACACGGGGATTGGAAACGGCGGCGGCATGGGATCCTTTTTACAGAGCCGGACTGGCGCCTAATTCGTTTGACAGTAGACCCTGGGCGATGGCGGTCTCGTTTTGTCTTGAGCTGCTACATTGCTGCAACACGCAAATCGATGCACGCGATTAGTTTTGTATTTCCATCGACATTTTTTATTTCGTTTCGTCACGAAACTATTTTATTAACATTATTACCATTATTATAATTATTATCATCATCGGTTCGGCAACAATACTCATTTCAGACCGAATTCTTAACGTTTTTTTTGTCAAATGCAGTTAATCGAAACATACGATGTGGAGTGAGAATTATTAAGACTACGTGGTAATGTTGAATTTTAAAGGGTTTAAATATGATAGATAGTCGTGCCAATGGGATATTATGAAATATTACAAAAGCTTATAATTCGTTGTGAAAAATGTGGATTTATTCTGATGGAAGTAATTTTTTGGTGGTCGAGTACCCATGCTAGTGCAATAATTAAACTGTCTCAGGATTACTAAATGTGTTCAAAAACGTGTCTATACTTGATATATTATCTATGATGATGATGATGGTTTTGGTTGTAAAAATAAACTCGAAAACTTATACGAAATTGGTTTTTTTTTTTAAATTGCGTTTTTAAATTCATTATTTACGAAATGTTTAGAACTGTTTGTTCAGTATGAGTTCTCAGGCTTATTTCGGTGAAAAAATCACGTTTCAACGACCAACGAGGCTGACCAACAGACAATTATTGAAAGTGGTCAAGCATGTTTCACGGAAAAACTTCGCTGCTGTTATCTAACCTCTTAAACGACGTCTTAACCATACAACACAAATATGTTTTCCGAGATTCTTTTTTTCCTTCACTTTCGACGAGTCCGAAACGGTAATCGAGGATGTGTTGGAAAATTTCAACAATGTTATTTATCGGTAGTAACCGAAAGCGACGTGCGTTTAGCAATTATTGAACGCTGTTGCAGTAACTTTTGGACTGGTGTTTTTAAAGGTACCCGAGAACCCTTTTGCGCAATTTGATTTACCGTCTCATAATAAAACACCGTTTATACATAACGGGTAAAACTTTAAACGCCATTAAACGCCGAGAAGAATAATTTAAATAATTTGCTTTAAATATCGTGCGTGCGAGCGCGCTAAGGGGGCGAGAAAGAGAACAATTAGATTACGGCGTTCGATAAATACGAGAACAAAAAGGAAAGACCGAAAAAGAATATTATTGTTTGCGCGTCCGCCGAAGACGCAGTTGTTGGCCTCTTCGGATTACGTCCGTCGAAAGCGATAGCCCACTATTACTCCTCAGTCCTCGACCACAGAAAAAATAATACCTCTCGTTGATTGAGAAAACGTAAAACGTTATCGCGGTACAGTGTTCACCACTTTTTGTTTAAATATTTATTCAGCAATAGAAACCAAAGGTACACACCGGGTCTACGTCGATAAATAAAAGATTTCACGATTAAGGTAATAAGCTCCTTTTTTTTTTCAAATACAATACAAAAGAGTCCAACGACCCCTACAAGCCGCGATGAGTATACGCAATATCAGATTTAAAACACGTCGGCAGTAAGAGGTGGATGCTGAAATCGTGGAAGACACTTCAATCTGCTATCGTGGGCTTACATTTTAGAACGAAGTATACCAGGGTCAAGGATAAAGCAGATCTTAACCAATAAGTGCAACCCTACTAGTTGTGCCTACACGATTGCGGTGGGTCTAACACAACGCCTGCGCAGAGATACGACGTGTTCGTAAACTTACAGCTTGTTTTTTTTCCCAGGATTTCATGGCGCTCTTGTATTTTTGGAACTCGTGACACCAGTCCGAGTACACCCGATGGTAGTCTTGCGATCGAGCCGGAGGCGAACACCGGTGTGCGTCCACCGTCAAGTTGAACGTGCACAACAGAGCGCCGGCCAACTGACAGTCGTACCTGCCGCCGTCTTCTTCTGAAGCGCCGACAATCACCATGCCACCCTCGACCGTCGCTATGTACTTCTCCACTCGGCTGTGAAAAATAAAATAAATAACATAAAAAAACGGTAGACAGCGATACAAACAACAGTTGACAGTTAAAATCGAACTACGTTCGGAGACATTTTATGGTTGACGATAAGCGTTTCGGATACAAATAAAACATCGGTATTCGCGATTTGACAGATTATTATTACTATTATATAGACCGATTGTGATTATTGTCGTCGGTAGTTTTTTTTTTTTTTTAATCTTTTTTTTCATGTGTCGTTTTTGATTATAATAACTAACGGCCACCGGCAATAATAACTACCGTGACGGCGACGGATTACATTATCCATCGGATCGCACGATTCCCCGCAGGACGATGGTGGAATATCTAAACTTGTACGTGAGCCTTTGGGATAGGAAATTAAGAATTAAACACCAGACGATAGAACACGAGCGGCATTGCGGTATAGTAGCGGTAGTAATAATAATAATATGAGAACGAATACGGGGTATTATTGTGCCGTAATTGGCGTACTCCACTACGATACCATCCCACGAGCCGAACGAAACGATTGCGAGAACTATACACGCCGTCACAGTGGCGCGAAACAGATAATGAATGCAGATTCAATTTCTTTACTCGCTTTAAGTGTCGACGTAGTGTGAGAGGGGGAGAGGAGGTAGCCGTTTCGGTATCGTCGTCAACGGCTGCAACGACGATGATTCCTCGGGCGAATAGGTATTCCGCTCCTTTATGCCGAGTTTCGAATTTCTGATTTAATTTTCTAGCGCTCCTTTAGCAACCACTCCCAAAATTGCTCAAACGACAAAAGCAACGACACAACGCTTACAGTTCATGATATCACAAAAAAATTTAGGTTTTCTCTATCGTTGTGATGGTATTTTTTATTTCTATTTTCATCCTTTATCTAGATTGCGAGAGAATAAAAAAAAATTAAAAAAATTAATGTAAAAATTAATTTTGATAGTAATTTTAATCGTCGTTTAAAAATACGAAATCACGTTATCACGAATAAATATAAAATGAAAGCGAAAATACTATGCCTAACCGATAATCATCGTCTAACGAACGTTTAATAATAAATTATTTTACACCGCGGTCCGTTGATTATTTTTTAATACAATTTATAACAAATAATACGATGTTTGTTCGGTAATTGGGGATGTGGGTCGTCATAACCAATCAATACTTTATTGCTCCGGGACTAAATGGGGCACTTTAATGTAACAAAAATATTGAACAACACGCATTGTGCGCTGTTACTATAGCGTACCTGAACGAGACCATGTAACGTCCTTTTTCCTTGCTGTGATGGTACCAAGTGACCGGGTACACTTTCAGCACTTGTGGCATTTTCACGAAACAACTAAGGTGCACGCTCTGGCCGAACGTGACGGTTAGCCTCTTGTTGACCACCGAGCTCTCGCACACGCTACGTGACGAGTTGGTCACGTCCTGCAGGAGCCTTTAGGGGGGCGAAGAAAAGCACAAAATAAAAATCGGATCGTGTTGCGCACAGTTACGCGAGTGTGTACTTACCCGGGCTGGTACGGTTTGCAGGTCTTGGATTGTTTGTCCCAGCCGCAGTACGGGTCATGGACGCACCGCAAACAGCTGTCGTACCGGTGAGTGCACATGGACAAGTAGATCTGTCTGACGCTCTCATCGGACGCCACGTACAGAGCCTTGTGCTGGAAAATAATAAAAGCCACCGTATGTTATTTTTCCAGTGAATAATTGTATGCAATATATTGATCGTTCTTAATAGCGTCGTTATAAATGTTCATAATCAATGCACGGCTTTATGGGGATATCGTATGCAATATCTATACAACACTCGTAATATACAGAAGGATAAACGTGAAATAAATTGTACGAAATACGTAGCACGGGAAATCTAAAACTCCGTCCAGGTAAAAATAATCGGTAGTCTCAGAAACTATTTGTACGGTAACAGATACAGCAATTAAACATATCTAGGACAAGATTTTTGATATAGAAAAATAAATATAAATCTTTTTAGTTTACTGTTTATGATAGTTTTAACAACATAGTGAATCAATAGATTGCGCCTGTAAAGCGTTTAAATTTAGAAGAATACCGAGTGGACTTCACGTGGCCACTTTGCAGAACTGTTTATCAAAAAATAATCAAAAGTAAAAAAGTAAAAAAATCAAAAGCGCATTTAAAAAAGTATTCTCTCGTACGGGCAATGTATACACTTATACAATATTGTACTCGCACATCTAAACATCTATAACAACGAGTGGCTGCAATGAATATACGATGTAGGTAAACCGAATACCGTTGCTTTTATCGAAAATCGTTAATTCCCGTAACGAATTTATTTTGAAGCCGATTAAAACGCGGAGCAACCAAATGCACACCGGTCCGTCATTGCGCGCGTATATAAATGTACAGGAAAAGGATTTGGGGATTTGGTATATACCAATAGGCCTACGGCAAATAAATATATCTATACACACATGTACATATACATACGCGTATAAATGTATATGCATGTACGTGTTAACGACGTGATGTTATCGCGAGCGCAGTCGAGTGCGAAACGTTTGGCAAGTCCTAAACAAATATATACACGACCGGGCCCCGGGTATCGTCGTCGTCGTCACCGTTTCGCGTATAGCTCTGCTGCTGATTGGGCTTTATGAGATTTGTATACATTTACGCGTGCCAAATTTCCGCGGTGATATACGCGCATGAACACAAACGCAGCATGCGTGTGCGTACATTTCTCTCTAATCAATCGCACCGGTGCAGTAAGGATTCCACAGGAGCTACGGAGAGCGCGTGCATTAATCATAAAACGTATAACACACACGTGTCTGTATGAGCACTGTGCAAGTGTGACAAAACCGATTTTTCGTTTAAATAATATATATATAAACGTTATAGATATTATAGGCACGTGCGTACGTATTCATCTATATATAAGGTAGACAGGACTAAATTGGATTTCGTGGACGGAAATCACCGACACCGGAATACGTGATAACAATAATTCTAAGACAGCGAAAGTATATTTTATCGACGGGAACGAGACGACGTGGAAAACGAGAGGAAACGCAGACCTCAGAAAATAATCGGTATGTGTTTCGGGGGCGCAGTTTCCTCTTCCTTTCCCCCGTCCGCCCACTCATCGTACCCGTCCATCCGGTCGAACAACAAATCACGGTCGAACGATGATCCAGCTTGTAGTGCGACGCGTGGTATTACCGAAGACGTATGTACGCCATTAACAGGTTAATTTACTGCACGCGGTACGAAGTCGGACTCGGGGTCCGGAACAACAGACGTGTATTATTTCCCCTTTCGATGAGTCACGTGCCCGCCGTTGTTTGCAGGCTCGTTAATGGGGAGGGATTACTAATCGTTCAGATGTGTCATTAAAAATCGACAGGTACGGGGGCGGCCGCTACTGCCGAGGTCGAAAAGCGGTAAGAGTCGGCGTCGCGTAAGTGACGCGAAAAGGCGAAAAGGTTTCCAATCGTACGATATTATAAAACTTAACGGTTATATTATTGTTACGAACGTTTTTTTGGACGAGAATCACGTGTTCGAGAAACTTGACGAGAAGGCGATCCGTGGACCGTGAACAATCGAATAAAACCGCGGGATTCGAGAAAGAAAGAAAACAATAACCAAGTTAATATTATACACACGTAAATAACATCGTGGAAAAGAAAAATAACGACGAGGTTCTCGTAAAACGTTCTGGCGTTGGGGCGCCTCTGATGGATCGTATGATTGCAATCGAATGGGAAACGTTATGTCTCTCGTTTCTCGTGGCGTGAGCGTATCGCGTATCGACGAGCATCCCCGTATATTACACCCGTAGGTATAACGGTTTCGGATTACACGCCATGCACCTTCGAGTAACTATTTATAGATTACCTACTACGGTTCGTTATCCGCGAAACGGAGTTAAAACATTTCGCCCCGCGCGTTCGGGCTCGCCCTCGGCGTGTTTGAGTTTTGTAGCCAGTTTCCGGTGTCGAACGCCATATGGGCTTGGGGTTTTCGAAAAATCACAATTAAGCAACATTACGCCCGACCGCGTCGAAGGGGACGGAAACGATCCCTGATAAACACTCGTGCGGCGTATCCTTCTTCGCGCGCACTCGTCCACCGCGTTTGCGATTGGCCGAGGGTCGCGTGAGGTCCGGAAAGCCACTCAAATGTGACTACGTGATGGGTGTACAAACCTTTTTGGATATCTCCATCGCCGTGATGGGCAGACCGGGCATAATGTCGAATATGTCCAGCAAAGCCGATCCCGGTACGCCTTCGTCGTTGTACCACTGGACCACTTTATACACTCTGCCTTCGTCTGCGGAAAAAAAAGCGACATTGAGATTGGAATAACAATTAATAATCAAATAAGCCACGTGTCTCGCGCACGATTTTAATTTGTTACAAAACGAGAAACGCACATTTAAACTGATTGTTATGATATGTATGATGTATATGGAAAAGCGTGTACAGTGAAAACCTTGTCCAAACACACGCCTTTTTAAACAAATTTAATTTCTCTCCGTCCGAGTGCACTTCGGTTTTCGACTGCTCTATTGTGTTATCAGTGCCGGATTTAGTGGTGGCTCGGGGATGCAAAGCACCGAGGCCTCGGATGGGGGCATTAGACTTTTTTAATTACATATAATAATTCATTATGAGTATATAGTACATCGAAAACGTTTCACTATGAAATATTGAACAACGGTTCAATCAATTGTAAAAAATTGTAATATTTGACATTGACTTATTTTCAACTCATTCGTATTGTTATCAATTAATTTTTAAATGTATTGAAGAAATAGATAAGATTATTTTGACAATCCTTTTTTTTTTTTTTTTTAAGTGTCAACTATTATTCTTTGCATCTAACCTTATCCTGACCCTTTTAAATACTTGAGTTCAGCACTGTGTATTATAATTATGATAAAATATTTTCAACTCACTGGTAGCGGCATAATAGACTGTGTAGTGCAGATGATTGCCGAACACAACGTAATCGAGAACGTCGACCACGAGACGCGTGAAAAACAAGTCACGCATGTAGAACACGGGTTGGTTGTCTTTGTGTGCTACCGCTTCGTCCATTAGAGGGTGACTGCGGATGAAATTCAACACGGAATCTGGCAGGGTTTCCGTGTCGTTGACGCACTGGCCAGGTCTGGGTTCGGGTACCTTAGTGGAAAGCACCGGGAGCCAGGCTGAAGTGGAGCTGGCTTGTTCCTTGAACCGTCCGGCGAACGCGTGGTCAATGTCCTCGAGCCGGAACGTGCATATAGCCGAGCCCATCAGGCCCGTGGTTGACGTGGTGAACACTCCGTAGAAAAGCGTGTCGTCACCTGGTACTTTGTAAATGCTCTGGATCTCGTTGAAATAGAACGGGTATTCGCCGGGTATGGAACAGTTGAGCCGAGCTTTTAGGTACGTGGCCCAATTGTGGTTGAGTATGTTCTTGCCACC